GTTTTGAAGAGGGACATTCCTATAAAAACCTTCACGTCTGATGGTGGAGAGAGGCTGAGGGTGAGGAGCACCTTTAGTTTGTTAACCAAAGACCACGAGTCAAGGACTGACGATACTTCTGACCTTGACAAGCTTTATTGATTTTTTTGATTCGTCCAAACCAGAGAAAACTGATACCTGGCCTCTGAATCATTGATAAGCACAAGGTTGCTGACTCTCTCTGTCAGGCAGATGGAGAACGGCATCTCTGCAGACACCCACACTTCCTGAACCCGAGGGCTACAATTTCACCTCGCTCCTCGTTCCCACTCCACTTCCGCTCCTCTCTGAATGGCTCTGCTTTTCTCATGCTGCAGTGAGATGTGTTTGTGTGTGTATCTACAGTCGGGTCCGAAACTTTGAGAACGCGCTGGGTTTAAAGAATCTAGAAATAAAGTTTTCACTTGAATCCTTATTCTTAGTAAATGATTTGTATAATTTTTTTTTAAAAGATAGTAAAAACACATTCACGCAGTGATTACAGCATAATTAAGGATAAAAAAATACAGGCATGAAACCTTCATATAAGTAAGTAATCATGTATTTTGTGCTTGTGGACAACCAAGGAGGCACTTACACACACACTCAAGACCACTGTGCGAAAATAAGCCCCTTAGGACGTCTAACTCGACACTTCCTCTCAGAGAAACCACAAAAACAATCACACGCTCCCACTCAGAGACCAACTGACTATCAAGCTGTCAGGAGCAAGACAAACGCAAACACGCGTATATGTGGGGAATAAAACAATGAAAATCTGAGGATCAGATTATGAACGGTCACATTTACTGATGTTCGGCAAATTTTCGCTAGCAAAAGGCGAAAGATTTCCCCATGCAGATTTATCGCGCTGACCAAACGAAACCCTCTTCTGTGTGAGCTGTGCTGTGCTTAAGAGTAAGGGCCAGATTTACTAAAGGAGGGCAAATTCACCCTTTGCCAGGAGTTTGATTGACAGGAGATCTGACCAATCATAATTCACTGCCGAATCCGCCATTTGCGTTAACGTCTTTCCGCGATTGAAACAACATTCCTTCTGATGTTCATTCACGATTTTTTGATGCTCTAAATTAACTAGAAGGAAGAGATGATCGGATCACGAGCAGCTTTAACTGAGGCGCTACAGCGATCCGTCACCACACATTAAAGAGCCACAAAACCGGATTTATTGTTTAAATTTCTTGAAGAAAAGACAAAATTTAAAATTTGAGACTATTTCATATGAAAAGTAACCAGGTCTGTCCTGGGAGTTTGATTGACATGCGATCTGACCAATCATAATTCACCATCTGCCGAATCCGCCATTTGGTTCGACAAAGCAGTCAGGAGAGTTAGTAGATTAACGTCGGTGGAAAAACTGTGTACTGACGTCTTTCCGCGATTGAAACAACATTCCTTCTGATGTTCATTCACGTTTTTTTGATGCTATAAATTAACAAGAAGGAAGAGATGATCGGATCACGAGCAGCTTTAACTGAGGCGCTACAGCGATCCGTCACCACACATTAAAGAGCCACAAAACCGGATTTATTGTTTACATTTCTTGAAGAAAAGACAACATTTTTAATTTGAGACTATTTCATATGAAAAGTAACCAGTTCTGTCCTGGGAGTTTGATTGACAGGCGATCTGACCAATCATAATTCACCATCTGCCAAATCCGCCATTTGGTTCGACAAAGCAGTCAGGAGAGTTAGTAGATTAACGTCGGTGGAAAAACTGTGTACTGACGTCTTTCCGTAATTGAAACAACATTCCTTCTGATGTTCATTAACGTTTTTTTGATGCTATAAATTAACTAGAAGGAAGAGATGATCGGATCACGAGCAGCTTTAACTGAGGCGCTACAGCGATCCGTCACCACACATTAAAGAGCCACAAAACCGGATTTATTGTTTAAATTTCTTGAAGAAAAGACAAAATTTAAAATTTGAGACTATTTCATATGAAAAGTAACCAGGTCTGTCCTGGGAGTTTGATTGACATGCGATCTGACCAATCATAATTCACCATCTGCCGAATCCGCCATTTGGTTCGACAAAGCAGTCAGGAGAGTTAGTAGATTAACGTCGGTGGAAAAACTGTGTGACGTCTTTCCGCAATTGAAACAACATTCCTTCTGATGTTCATTAACGTTTTTTTGATGCTATAAATTAACTAGAAGGAAGAGATGATCGGATCACGAGCAGCTTTAACTGAGGCGCTACAGCGATCCGTCACCACACATTAAAGAGCCACAAAACCGGATTTATTGTTTAAATTTCTTGAAGAAAAGACAAAATTTTTAATTTGAGACTATTTCATATGAAAAGTAACCAGTTCTGTCCTGGGAGATTGATTGACAGGCGATCTGACCAATCATAATTCACCATCTGCCAAATCCGCCATTTGGTTCGACAAAGCAGTCAGGAGAGTTAGTAGATTAACGTCGGTGGAAAAACTGTGTACTGACGTCTTTCCGCGATTGAAACAACATTCCTTCTGATGTTCATTAACGTTTTTTTTGATGCTATAAATTAACTAGAAGGAAGAGATGATCGGATCACGAGCAGCTTTAACTGAGGCGCTACAGCGATCCGTCACCACACATTAAAGAGCCACAAAACCGGATTTATTGTTTAAATTTCTTGAAGAAAAGACAAAATTTTTAATTTGAGACTATTTCATATGAAAAGTAACCAGTTCTGTCCTGGGAGATTGATTGACAGGCGATCTGACCAATCATAATTCACCATCTGCCAAATCCGCCATTTGGTTCGACAAAGCAGTCAGGAGAGTTAGTAGATTAACGTCGGTGGAAAAACTGTGTGACGTCTTTCCGCAATTGAAACAACATTCCTTCTGATGTTCATTCACGTTTTTTTGATGCTATAAATTAACTAGAAGGAAGAGATGATCGGATCACGAGCAGCTTTAACTGAGGCGCTACAGCGATCCGTCACCACACATTAAAGAGCCACAAAACCGGATTTATTGTTTAAATTTCTTGAAGAAAAGACAAAATTTTTAATTTGAGACTATTTCATATGAAAAGTAACCAGTTCTGTCCTGGGAGATTGATTGACAGGCGATCTGACCAATCATAATTCACCATCTGCCAAATCCGCCATTTGGTTCGACAAAGCAGTCAGGAGAGTTAGTAGATTAACGTCGGTGGAAAAACTGTGTGACGTCTTTCCGCAATTGAAACAACATTCCTTCTGATGTTCATTAACGTTTTTTTGATGCTATAAATTAACTAGAAGGAAGAGATGATCGGATCACGAGCAGCTTTAACTGAGGCGCTACAGCGATCCGTCACCACACATTAAAGAGCCACAAAACCGGATTTATTGTTTAAATTTCTTGAAGAAAAGACAAAATTTTTAATTTGAGACTATTTCATATGAAAAGTAACCAGTTCTGTCCTGGGAGATTGATTGACAGGCGATCTGACCAATCATAATTCACCATCTGCCAAATCCGCCATTTGGTTCGACAAAGCAGTCAGGAGAGTTAGTAGATTAACGTCGGTGGAAAAACTGTGTGACGTCTTTCCGCAATTGAAACAACATTCCTTCTGATGTTCATTCACGTTTTTTTGATGCTATAAATTAACTAGAAGGAAGAGATGATCGGATCACGAGCAGCTTTAACTGAGGCGCTACAGCGATCCGTCACCACACATTAAAGAGCCACAAAACCGGATTTATTGTTTAAATTTCTTGAAGAAACCAGGTCTGTCCTGGGAGTTTGATGACAGGCGATCTGACCAATCATAATTCACCATCTGCCGAATCCGCCATTTGGTTCGACAAAGCAGTCAGGAGAGTTAGTAGATTAAAGGTGGAATACCTAAGATTTTTGCATTAAAATATCCCAAAATCACAAGGCCGGTGCAAGGCATAGCGATCAGAATATCAAGAATATCATACCAGGACCAGTAAATTATCACCTTGTAACCCCCCAAAACACCCTAGCAACAACATAACAATGAAATACAGTAGAAACTACTCAGAGCACCTTAACCACCATACACTGTAGCAACACCCTGGCAACCACACTAGCATTGTTGTGCCAGCGACATCTGCACTTTTACAATCCTTTCTTAAGAAAATGTATCTTCTAACAAACTTACAGTCACCCCTCCACAACACAACAGTTTATTCCCTATAAGAGGACTCATGTTTAGTCAAGAAGCATGGCACACACATCATTAGGAGAGACAAACAAGAATGCAAGAAAACGCTTTAGTATCTAGTAGTCAGCAAAGCAAACTTTACTATGTTAGTGTGCACTTTTTAAAGATGATCTATTATGCCCTTTTACATAGTCTTCATAGCCTCCTTATTTTTTTCACATATTTGATATGGTTGCAGCTCCTCCAATTCCCAGTCTGTCAGTAACGTTTGGTTTAGTTCCCGTCTCTATGAAGGCCCTTCCCTCCAAAAAGCACAATGTGCTCTGATTGGTCGGCTGGACCAGTGTGTTGTGATTGGTCAACAGCTTAGAGCATGTTTAGGAAATCCTAAACACACTACTAACTCAAAAAGACCTTTATTTTCCATATGCCTTGGGCGGGAATTATTTAAATGTGGAATATCGAGAAATGTTCGTTCTCGGAAGAAAACTCAAGACTACAATGGAGGCGTTTCAGGGAGTTCAGAAACAGTGACACTGATATAGAGACTAATTCTTGCTGGAGTGACTTTGTGCTTTAGAACAGCAAAACACTAAAGAAAGTTGGAAATGTAAAAAAGCATGATAAGTCCTCTTCAATATTCTCCATGAGAAACAAATGTTAGAATAGATTAAGTGTGTATTAGTAATTATTGCAGCTCATTAAAGAGTCGAAGCACAGCCTTCCGTTAAGCATTTCTCTTTTCCATTTCCACAAAGGAAACCCACTTATTCCACCCAGAACAATGTGTCTTTCCAAAGCAGTCCTTAATGAAGGTTTGGCAGAGCCGAGAGGTGCTTACCTTTGATTCCAAACTTTGAGTTGCGTCCAAACTTCAGAATGACAAGCATCAAGATGAAGCCTGTGAATGTGATTGCTGCAATTCCCACGACCACGTACACCTACAAACCGAATGAAGAGTCTTTAGACCAGTCACTGCATTCAAAGCTTCATTGGGTAAAAATACTTAAAGGGGTGATGAACTGAGAAATCAAATTTTCCTTGAGCTTTTGACATCTAAGAGGTCATCATGTTATAAGAATATCCTGTTCTAAATTTCAGAACTGAAAACGTCCCCGCTAGTCCAATAAAAGCTTTTATTGGCACCAGCCTCAGCAAACGACTCGTTTTTTAAAGTGGGGAACTATGACGTCAAAGAGGATAAAACACCACCCCCGCAGAAGAAGATCAACGCCTACTTCAACACAGCCGGTTTAGCCCCGCCCACCGATTCGTACATTTCACGCATAGCTAAATAACATAGGCTTACCTTGTGATGACAAACCGGATCGAGCTACCGAGCGAGCAATACAAAATATTTTACAACCATTTTCCAACATTAGACGTTTTCAAAACAATTTCCCCCAAGTGCACCGACGAGTGAGTTGAAACTCATTATAATATGCAAAACTGTTATCCACTCACAGCAGTGGGCGATTACTTCCAAGTCTTCAGTGCGAGACACCCATAAAAACAGAGCGTTTTTGAGGTAGGCTCAAAATTAGGGTAGAAAATAGCCTATTACTAATTCATTTAGATGTTTTTGAATGTAAAAACCAAGCGAACCTCATAAGTTGACCTCAGACAACATTATAATAAAATTTAAAAAGCCAGTTCATGACCCCTTTAATCTCCATGCGCAAGAGATTTTGGCGAGTTTTACAAGTTTACTATACTAAAAACTGATTGGGCATCTAGAGGTCACAAACATACATCAAAGGTGGCTTAAAGGGATAGTTCACCCAAAATGAAAATTCTGTCATTAATTACTCACCCATAAGTAAGACTTTCGTTCATCTTTGGAATACAAATAAAGATCTTTTTAATGAAATCTGAGAGGTTTCTGTCCCTCCACTGACAGCTACACTTTGACGCCTCAAAAAGTTGAGAAAAATTGAGTGGTTTAGTCCAAATTTTCTGAAGAGATTTTAATAAACATTCATCAACCCACACATCAGTTGTAGTAAACGGAAGTTCAAGCACGTCCGCTTAACGTGTGAGAACCAGGGACGTGCACAGGAATTTTGAGGGGCAGTTGCTCTGACCTGAAAAAAAGGGTAGTTTTAAAAAACTGAAACAGGACGTGCTTCTGGACCAGCGTTGTTTACATCTTGCAAAATGGTCTATAGAACAGAATGAGGTTCAAACAAACAATATTTACTGAATAAAGCATTTTTATAGAATGTTAAGATAACAAGTGAATATTAACGTAAACATAAATAAGAAGAAAATAATAAAGTACAACCCTGAACTTTGGCTTTTGGGATTAACTTTGGTTCACTCTACAGCCTGGGTATTTTCGGAATCAGTAGCCTATGATTTTTTTATTTTTTTTATGCATGTTGAAGCAAATCTTGATTTATGGTTATTTACTGAGGGATTTGCATTCATATTGACCAGAATGTCCAGCTAATCATCATTTTAAATTCAATATAGCCAATAAATCAATAGTCAATCAATGTCAAATTGCCAATACATTGGTTTCTATCTTGCATAGCCTAAATTAGTGCGGTTGTTTAGAGTTTTTACTGAGACTAGATAATCAGTGTCTTAATAATGTGTACTTTGATTGGGAGTGCCATCATTCACGTATTGTACAGTATTTCTGGTCTCCACATTTCTGCTTGAAAAATGCGAGTTTCATTTCGTGCACGCGCATATGAACGCAACACACACGCGACGCGGTTTTGTTTTCCGAGCTGCAGTAAACAAACACTGTTGTTGCACTTTGTCGTTTATCAAAAACAAAACGTAATAAATAATGGTATTTTACTCTCACTTTTGTCGGGCAAAAAGTGATGCAAGAGATGCACTGTCTGCCCAGATAGGTTAGCAAGACCAAAAACCATCAAACTTTGCTGACATCAAACTAGAGAGGAGAGAACACAAGTTTACCCGACTGCTGTTTCCGCAATTCACTCTCATGTTTTTCTTCTTCCTCTTTCGTGACGAGAAGGATAGTTTAGCTTCATTTTGTCATGGACTTCGTACACATTAATTAGCGCGCGACACGAGATGGAGGCGCGGCCTGAGTAATTTGCGGTGCCTTACCATACCACCGGTCGCACTGGCACTGCAGCTACGTAAACAGTTTGACTTTCACTTTCAGTGCCCGAATGGAAGTGAATGAGGCTTTGCGATTCGATTTTTATATTATTTTTTTTGTCTAGGCCTACGTGAAATTCTACATCCATTGTACGATTTTTTTTTTCCTCAGAAGGGCAACCTGGGTCGAGAAGGGCATATGGGCAGTTGCCCGGGCAACCTGAGCAACCCCCCTGTGCACGTCCCTGGTGAGAACCAATGAGGTTCATTCTCGTGTTACGCATCACATTTGAGATTCAGAAAGAACCAATGAGGTTTGTTGTCCAATGAGGAACCACAAGCAGGTTCGGTTTATGTTCACTGATCAATGTTTATATGTGAATAAAAGACTAAATTAAATCTGTTCATCATATAAAGCGATCGATTCTCTTCAGAAAATTTGGACTAAACCACTCAATTCATAGTTTTACGATCTTTTTATGAACTTTTTAAAGCGTCAAAGTGTAGTTGCGCAGCTGTCAATGGAGGGACAGAAATCTGATTTTCATCAAAAACATCTTCATTTGTGTTCTGAAGATAAACAAAAGTCTTACAGGTTTGGAACATAACAATATCAATAACAACATAAAACTCCCATAACACTGTGAAGTAAGACAATGTCCATAAGACGATGTCCATGTCTTTCTTTCTTCAGTCGAAAATAAATTAAGGTTTTTGATGAAAACATTCCAGGATTTTCTCCATATAATGGACTTCAATGGGAACCAAACGGTTCAAGGTCCAAATGAGAGTTTCAGTGCCGCTTCAAAGGGCTTTAAACGACACCAGACGACGAATAAGGGTCTTAATAAGGGTCTTATCAACTCAAATATTTGTTAATTTTGATGAACGAGTTTGAACAGGAGAGTCACAAACGTACATCACAGAACAGAGCAAAGCTTTTTTATTTATTTTTGAAATTACCGATTGTTTCGCTAGATAAGATCCTTATTCATCATCTGGTGTCGTTTAAAGCCCTTTGAAGCTGCACTGAAACTCTCATTTGGACCTGAACCGTTTGGTTCCCAATGAAGTCCATTATGGAGAAAATCCTGGAACGTTTTCATCAAAAACCTTAATTTCTTTTCGACTGAAGAAAGAAAGACGTGGACATCTTGGATGACATGGGGGTGAGTAAATTATCAGCAAAAGTTTTTTTAAAAAGTGAACTACTCCTTTAATAAAAGTAACTATTTATTATTAAACATCAGTGTCAATTATCATATTGCTGTTGCTGCCATTTAAAAAAATAAAAAGTCTATAACCGAATTTCACCCTACATTGTCCGTAAAATCCTACTCGTGATAAAATCACTGTCCCGCACAGACTTGTTTTTTTATTTTGATGCAGTAAAATCTTATGAAATGATGAAACTTAAGAATAAATCAATTTCACTCACAGCAACTTTGTCCTCAGGCGGTCCAAGAGGAGTGTCATCTGTTTGGAAGAGAAGAAACACATAAGATATATGTGCGTAGATTACAAATCTATCTATAATCCTGTATGTTCCTGTGTCTTTTGTTCATACCTGTAGTGGGATCTCACACACAAGAAGACAAACACAAGAAGAAAATGTAAGAATTATTATGAATTATCCTTTTTTTAACAAAACATTTGTAATAAAGATTTCATAACATTATAATTACTATGTGTATTATGTAATAAATGACTAAAACGCAATAGTTCAACCCAAAATGAAAATTGTCAACATTGACTTGTGTTGATCCAAACCCATATGACTTTATTAGGTGGAACACAAGAAAATCATAAGTCATATGGGTTTGAAATGTCAAAACCAAACATAATATTCTTAAACTAGACTCACCATAATACAGCGGATCAGTGACTGATTCTGATGAAACAACATGAAAAAGAAAACAAATAAGGCAACTTTGCAGACACATTCATAGAAATTGTTTCATTCTGGCTGCATACTAATTTCAACTCACCGTTCCACGGCTCATGCATGAAATGAGCGAATACTGTCTTGTTGTCCTCTCCGTATATATTACTGGCCATGAGTGTGTATTTTCCATTGTTGATGTGTGTGGGACTGTCCAGCTGTAAGCAACCATGGTATTCCCCCTCTGAATAATCGTGGATCATGGTCTGGATAAAGCTGCCCTCTTGCAGGGGTTGGTCGTTTAATAACCAGCTCAGTATCGGCTCTGGGTTACCCGCCACGCTGAAGGGAATGCACCAATGGTGGTCTGAGATCGCATCCATCAGCTTGCTGATCACCGGGGCAACTGCCATAATAAATGGACAAGACAAGGGTAAACAAACGCAAATAACTTGAATACCCTTAATAAGGAGTAGTTCACTTTCAAAAAAACATTTGCTGATAATTTACTCACCCCCATGTCATCCAAGATGTCCACATCTTTATTTCTTCAGTCGAAAAGAAATGAAGGTTTTTGATGAAAACATTCCAGGATTTTCTCCATATAATGGACTTCAATGGGAACCAAACGGTTCAAGGTCCATATGAGAGTTTCAGTGCAGCTTCAAAGAGCTTTAAACGACACCAGACGATGAATAAGGGTCTTATCTAGAGAAACGATCGCTCATTTCAAAAATAAATAAAAAAGTTTAAGTTTTATAAGCTCAAATGCTCGCATTGCTCTATTCTGTGATGCGCGTTCGTGACTCTCCTGTTCAAACTCGTTCATCAAAATGAACAAATCTTTTTTCGAGTCATGACTCGAAGGGTCCTAGATAAGACCCTTATTCATCGCCTGGTGTCGTTTAAAGCCCTTTCAAGCGGCACTGAATCTCTCATTTGGACCTTGAACCGTTTGGTTCCCAATGAAGTCCATTATATGGAGAAAATCCTGGAACGTTTTCATCAAAAACCTTAATTTATTTTCGACTGAAGAAATAATGACATGGATTTCATGGATGACATGGGGGTGAGTAAATTACCGGCAAAAGTTTTTTTTAAAAGTGAACTACTCCTTATAATGATTTATGGTAGCATTACATGCTTGGGCTTATTAAAATGTATTATTTGCTGATTAAATAATTATGTAACACTTTATTTTACAGTGTCATTGTTAGATGTTACATTAAGTTACTGTAGTAATACATGCAACTAACCCTAAACCTAATGGATGTAGTTCATTCATATTACTAAGTACATAAAATACACTGTATCAAGGATACCTTGAAATAAAATCAAACTTCTAAAGTACATCTAGTACACAATCATATCGAAATCATTTATACTATATATATATATATATATATATATGAAGAGATCAGATGCAAAAGCCTCTAAATGCCATTAGAAATTTTCTTCTAGAATGATCATTTTTATCAAGCTTGTATATTTAAGTTCAGTAATTTCACTTAAATGGCAATTAATAGGTAATCTTCATTGCCATTTAAGTGAAATTAATGAACTTAAATATACAAGCTTGATAAAAATGATCATTTTAGAAGAAAATTTCAAATGGCACTTAGAGGCTTTTGCATCTGAACTCTTCATATATATATATATATATATATATATATATGTTCTCTTTTGTATTAAACACTTTAAAACTTGGGTAGTGTATATAAAAAAATTATGAGTAGCAATTATAGCAGTATCCCAGACTCGTGCAATAATTCTCATGAAACAGTGTGTATCTGTTGGTTTTACAGCTGTGTGTTTCTCTTGATAACTTACACAGTATGTCCAGATGCACAGACGCCTCAGACTCTCCCACCATGTTATCAGATCTGCAGGTGATTTTGCATCCGTTGTCCAGAGAGGAGACATTGAAGAGCTTGAGCTCTGACATTTGACCTGAGCCTTCTTTCTGTGGGTGTGAGTTACAGCAATGTCAATGCCATTCCTATTTAAAGTCTATGCAATAGAATACAGACAACACAGATCCCTGGCCTTATTGTGGACGATTCATTGTGGTCATTCCAAAGAAATAATATATTTGTCTTTAATCGAAATGTAATCAGTTGCTCTCCCTCTGAAATGACTGTCCTTTTCCGTTGGCGTCACTTAGGCGGATGGCCAATTGGATAATGTTAACCAATAGCTATTCAGGGTTTGTTGTTTTGGGGAATATCCTGTTACGCCTCATTACGAAAATGGTTTGTAAATTGCAATATACATTAGCTGCTTTTCCACTAACGGACGGTTTAGGAATTGGTTACGGTTATATTTCCACTTGAAATACAAACTGGATTCTCTGTAGCAGGGCAAGCATGCTATTTTAATAATGGAAATATATGATCATCCTCCATAATCCGGTCGCTATTTACATCTCATACCTCTGTAAATTCTAACACATTTGTATTACATTTCAAAGAGCTCCGATATCAGAAAATAAAATCTAAAATCCGGATCGCCAAAGAAAGCAACGGTTAAGCAACATGAACGGTTTGGCCCGAGAGTGTTTTTGCCCTGTTCCATCAATCAAAGCCTTAAAGGCCCACTGAAGTGCCTCGAAACACGCAGCGTTATTCAATGTTTTAACGTAATTTCCACAAACAGGAAGACAGGGTGGGTCATATCGAATAGCTCCTCCCCTTTTTAAAAATAGCCAATAGCGTTTTGTTTATAATCACAGCTGGACTAGAGCTGTTGAGCTCAGTAAAGCCGCAGTTCCCTCCTAATCTCTAACCGTTTCTTCTCACAATCTACACCATATTACTTTAAAATATAGCATTCTGTACAGAACTCAAATGGGTCCGATTCCATCATATGATCCATCGTACTATCGTGTCTCGCATGATTTAATTCGCCCCAATTACTCAAATCATAATGTAGGGGGCGGAGCTTCAGATTCTAGAGAGCATTTGATTGGACCTGATTAGAAGCTGAAGTGCAGAGTGATGTCATCAAAATCATTGAGCCATATTGGCGGAAGTGAGAGATTGTGAGTTTGAATGCTTATATCTTCTAAATGCAAATTGTCACACTAGCTTATAGATAACAGTAAGGCTAACATATTTATACCAAAAGGCAAAAAAATTATTTACATTAAAATGGTAAAATCAACTAAATCTCTTAAATAATTAAGCAATCCTCTCAGCAAAATCTAATGCAAATGTCATAAATAAGGAATGGCTTTCATAATGTATCATCAAAATGACTGAACAACACTGGTCTGCAATACAATGTTAAAATGCTGTGGCAAGACCTTTTGCATCCACTCTTTGGCATCCACACGAAAAGAAATCGCAACAACCACTAATAATCCAACTGAAAGAACTTTGAGATGTTAGATTTACCTGGTGCGCTGAGTTTAATTGGCAGGTGTTCCAGTTCAGATTGGGCGTGGGCGTTCCTGACGTGTTGCACACCAGCGTCACATTGAGCCCTTTCCTCATGGTCACTTTGGTGGGTTTGAGAGTCACAGTGGGGAGAACTAGAGAGAACAACAGACCACCAAGCAGAACGTTTATACACTAATTAACAAAAATTATTAATTAGAAAAAAGTTATATAATCAGTATCGTTGTCTTGGTTTTTGATAAAAAAACATCTAAAAGGTCCTTAGAACAGGGGTAGGGGGGTTAGATGGGAATTAGTATTATAGTAGTATAAGTTTTCTTTCTTATTGTAAATAAATAAATAAATAAATAAATAAAAAGACTAAATTACAATAAATAAATAAATAAATAAATATAGGTCCTTAGAACATAAGTGGTTTGGAATATTTTTTTTCAAAATGCATTTAAGTCTGAATGGTCAGATTGGGAGTAGTTTGCCATTCAGGACATGACACTTATAATAACAATAACAATATTATCTTTATCTTTATCTGAACTTTTCAGTTTTCCATTTATATATATTTTATCGTTTCAAATGACTAATTCTTTCAGGTTATATTTAAAGTTACACAAAGATACCAGTCACAAAATTATATATTTTTTCTATTTATGTCAAAAATCATTAGGATATCAAGTAAAGATCATATTCCATGACGATATTTTGTACATTTCTTACCGTAAATATATAAAACATTATTATTATTATTATTTGGTTTTGTGGTCCAGGGTCACATATGTATTTGATCCTTTTAAAAGCTTTTAAAATATATACATTTATTCGATTTTTAAATCACTTTAAATAAATGTATTCAAAGTAAATTAGTTTTAACATGAATAGGATTTTCAATATTTTTTTTTCAAATTCTCAAAACATAACCAAAATCCTTTTTGTGATCTATAAGAATATTATTTATTGAAGTATTATTACAAATTTGCACTGTGCTTAAAGCCGATTATTGTATGTGTGATAATGCAATGAAATATGCTAAATTGTCTGGACATCTACTTCACTGTAAAAAAAAATATTGGTTTAACTTAAAAAAAATTAGTAACCTGGTTGTTCAAGTTCATTGAAATGGAAAAATTTTGTTAATACAACAAAGGAGATTTATTTAATCATCAGAAACTCAAAATATTATGTTATCTGAACAACATAAATAAATTATCTAAGTTGATCTGACAAAAGAAAAAAAATGTTGTGATTACAAATCATGAAAATATTTTTTTTTACAGTGTTGGGCAGGCTGTCATACAAATATATTAAGAACATGTAAGAGAGAACCAACTGAATATTAATAACTGATTTTGTATTTCTATGCATTTTTTGAATAGTAAAATAAAACCTGTAGCTGTATGTTGCCTTTTTTAACCAAATAGTTTTGTCAGATAAACTTCTTCCCTCATATTCAAAATATTTTACCTTATATTTTGATGTTTAAGGTCATTAAAAATAAATATACCTTTTAAGACATCACTTTTGGCCAATACTGCATCTATATTTAATTTAATGTATTGTTTTGAACAACTTTTAAAAGAAATCTTTCATTTTATTTTTAATTTTTGGACATTTTCCACCTATAGTTAAAGGGGCATTGAGATATGTATTTGATATTTTAGTCCAGAAACGTAATCACTTTAAATAATTTAAAATCATAGTTACTTAATTTTAGCATGAAAACATTTGAACATTTTTGAAAACATTTCACCAATTCTCAAAAACAATTATTTTTGATATTTTATTGTTATGTTTTACTATTTTCTAACAGTCGATTCTTTGTAAAGTGGAACCGAAGTGTATATTTGAATTAAATTAGCTCAGATATCAGATAACTCGTACTTCTCCACCGGCGTCACAGGAACACCGTTCTAACCCGCCAGGCGCTCCCGCTAAACTCAAGGCCAAAGAGTGCCGACAGCTCTGACTGTCTCGGTCATGAACAGACAGCCAAATCAGATCTCTATCTCCATCTGCTCCCAGGTGGCCGCAAGTTACATCCTTATCCCCGCGTCCCGGGAACCTCTTCCTGCGGCCGGACACTGCAGGTCACGCAGCTATGATCATTTCAAGACTGTATACTTTTTTATGTATAAGTTAAATATCCACCAAACACAGTAACACACACCTTCAGTCTGTTCCGACTGGATATTCCCATAGCAGCTCCTACTCTTAAAGGATTAGTTCACCCAAAAATGACCCTCATGTCGTCCCAAGCCCATAAGACCTCCGTTCATCTTCAAAACACAGTTTAAGATATTTTAGATTTAGTCCGAGAGTGTTCTGTCCCTCCATTGATAATGTATGTAAGGTGTACTGTCCTTGTCCAGAAAGGAAATAAAGACATCATAAAAGTCGTCCATGTGACATCAATGGGTTAGTTACAATGTTTTGAAGCATCGAAAATACATTTTGGTCCAAAAATAACAAAAACTATGACTTTAGCATTGAATTCTCTTCCGGTTCTGCTGTGGATCTGCATTCAGTGACGCTGAATTTATGACGTGTGTCTGGTGCGGCTGAGCTTCGGTTAAAGTCTGAGGGAGACGCACGCTGTACAAAACAATCTTCACATACATGTCTAAGGATTTCCACACAGAGGAACACTTCCTTTTTTTGCCCAGCTATATTTATTTGAGCCCAAATACACGGACTCGCCAGACACACTTCACCAGCGGCACTGAACGCTGATTTACAACAGAACCGGAAGACAATATAATGCTGAATACAGTCGTCGTTTTTGTTATTTTTGGACCAAAATGTATTTTCGATGCTTCAAAACGTTGTAACTAACCCACTGATGTGACATGGACTACTTTGATGATGTCTTTATTTTCTTTCAGGACAAGGACAGTATACCGGACGTACATTTTCAATAGAGGGACAGAAACAAAATATCTTAAAGGGGCGGTTTACTGCTTTTTTTTCTTTGCATGATTGTGTTTATGGGGTGCAATAACATGTATTTGTGTTTTTTCTTTTGTAAAAATTTTTTTTCATAAATTTCACCTTTATTGTAAGCCGCTTTCTTTCTGTCATTTGAACGAGCGGTTGACTTCCTGAATCTATGAAACCACGCCCTCAGAAACAGGCAGTGGGCTCAGATTGGTTAGTTTGGGCCGGTGTGTTGTGATTGCCTAAACTGTGTAGGGCACGTTGTCCGGAAAATTCATGCCCATTCCCTTTACGGGCGAAAGTGCTCCGGTCAATGTCCATAATGGTGTTGATACTGCAATCTCAGTATGAGCCAGAATCAGACCCAGAAAGCGGCGATGAAGAGAGTCAAGCAGAACCTCACCACAAACGACTCTTACAAAACGTTTCTGAATGGTAATTTGCCTATATTTTTTTAACTTTAAACACGTTTGTTTTACACAATAGCGTCGAACTGACTGGCCACTATATACACAAACAGTGTTGGCACTGGTTTACGTTCTTGATCAAATCAAAAAATAACGTCAAAGTATATATACATGAAAAATACATTTACAACATTAGTACTTATACAAATTCGGGTCCAAAATGTTTGTACGCGTTTGTCGTGGACACAAAATAGCATAACTAAGTGGTTATGAAGCCAGCGCTGGCATTTGACAAAACTAAAACATTACGTCTAAAATTATACATGCAAATACATTTAAAATGATGAAGTCTTAGCCTACTTACAGGTTGTGGCCCAACAACTGCTGCCTCTGCTTTTAAAGTTGGAACTGCTTCATGTTTTAGTAACAGTTTCTTGTTGAATTCATTGAATTGAATTGAATTCGTGGAGATTCTGGAAGCTGTCTTTCGTAAAATGCGCAGCACAGAGAGCTGAATTACGATCGTCATTTTCAGGAACATAATCAAACATAAATTGTATCCATTGTTGACGAAGTACAGCGTCGGTGGGAAGCTCGAACACAGAAGACCTGACAGCTGGATGAACACAACACACTCGACGAGCCGCAGAAATATGGCCATGCCCTTTTAAGCATATTCCGGAGGGAGGGGTTGATGCAAATGTGTGGGTTAGTGACGTCTAACGCCGCCTTCACACTGGCAGTTGAAATCAGCTCCGATGCGGCTGCGAAACGACCGGAAGTCATTCATTTCCTATGGAGATTCGCAGACCGCATGCGAATGGGTCCGAAACGGGTCCGACCGAGTGCGGTGCGAAGAAAATCGTGTCCGTTGGTCATCCGGATGCGTTCAAAAATTTGAACTCTTGCGAAAAGCTACGGACGGTTCCTATCCGACAATTCCAGCGGAAGTTGACCGTTGCTATGGTACTGATAAACAAACCTGAATTATTAACTTTTAATAAAATAAATATTGATTTTATAACGATAAGTTGTGATGTCATTTTTTATTTTCATGACTTTCTAACGTTTATAAGGGCAGTTAATACAATTAAACTGAAGGTAGACATTGAACTATTGACCAATATCACATTTTTTAGCCGACCTGACATGTCAACGTCCTGAGCAACTTTCCTCACGCAGCATAACCCTAATCAGAGAGATCATACAGAACTGACAGAATCAAACTTTAATCTCTCCGCCATTTTTGTTCTACCCGCGTCCGACGCTTTTCACTGTGTAGTACGACGTCCGTTGGGAACGTATTGCGTATTACGGAGCTGATTTCAACTGCCAGTGTGAAGGCGGCGTAAAACCCAGCTGTAGTCCCAATCGAGTCGTTTTTGTAGGCATTAAAATTTAAAAGACGATATCTCTGCTTACATTGAACTTTCTGTGCTGCAACTTTGCAGATACTGTTCATGCACCAACAGCAACGTTACACACTATTTAAAATGAAAAAAGTGAAATCGCAATCAACCACCCCTTTAAACTGTGTTCTGAAGATGAACGGAGGTCTTATGGGCTCGGGACGACATTAATGGCATCATTTTCATTTTTGAGTGAACTAACCCTTTAAAAAGCAGTTCCCAAAAATGTTAATTCTTTCATCATTTAATCATGCTCACGTCGTGACTTTCGGCGGAAAACAAAAAAATATATATTTTGAAGAATTGTTTTTGTCCGTACAATGTAAGGCCACGTTTACACAAAGCCAGGTATTTAGCTAAACGAATATTTTCCCCCTCTCCGTTTTCAAAAATAACATCGTTCACACACCCGCATAAATACGCCGTCGAGCGGCATCATAACTATGCCAAACCTATTGGCGGGAGTTTAGGGGTTAAGGATAAAGCCATGCAAGCCAATCAGAATCCTCAGAATCGACAAGAGAGAACCTAAAACGCCGTTTCTCCCAGTTCACACGACAACACATAACCGGCGTTTTCAGAAATCTCCACTTTGGCCGGAGTTTTTAGAAATAATCGTTTTCTGTGATAAAAACGGGGTTTTCGTGTAAACGAGAGGCCAATCCGCAGGGAAATACCTGCGTTTTCTCTTCGTGTAAATGGGGCCTAAGTCAGTGGAGTCTAAAATGTCACTGGACCCCAAAAAAACCCCACATTTTTCGAAACATCTTCTTTGCGTTCAGTCATACAGGGGTGCGTTTCCCGAAAAATTGATTTTTTCAACGATACATCATACTATGGAAGTGAAGCAGCGAGTTACGGCGGGCGTTGTATGGGAAATGTACCCTGGTTTGGAACGACATAAGGGCAAGTGAATCATTATTGTGATTCAAAGGCATCAAGTTTCTCTTAATTGTATTGGCAAAACATCTCTAATGTACATCTGCCACTCGAGATGTTCCAAAAGTCAGTGGAGCAGCTTATTTTCTTTCATGGCACAAAAAAACGGAAAAGAAAGGCAGCGTTTGGCCACAGGCCAGCAGACGCTCCGGCAGAGTCTAAATGTCTCAGTGTTTTTGCATTCTGGGGATCCCCCCATCTATCTCTATTTTTCCCTTTTCCTCCCTCTCTCTCTTGTCCTCTCTTCCTCCCTCGAGGCCCTTCTGCTGTGGTATTGCTTAAAATAGGCCTGGCTGGAGGCTGATCCTAGGATCAATAATGATCCGCGTCTCAAGCCGCAGCCATAAAACTACAGCCTGGACAAATCACATCTTACCAAACCTAAACTTCAGTCTGGAATATCATACGAGTGAAACCGCAAGTTTCCTTTCAGATATGCGGATTCTCTGTTATCCAGGCCATGGTGGAATGTCTTTCAATTCGCAGAAATACTTCAGTTTTAGGGGATTCGTTCAATTCTTACAGTCTTGTAATAAAGGCCAGTGTTGGTGTTGTTAAGTAAAATAAAAACTGTTATAAATCATGTTTTGATAATTGAAATAATGCTGAAATAAAACAGAAAAAAATTCATACGTAAATCAATTAAATGATATTTAGAAATGTAGCCTTTGCAACTAGCTGAAATAAATTAAGTTAATAATAGTAATACACTCTAAACAATGCTGGGTTGTGTTAACCCAAATTTGGATCAAATATGGACAAACCCAAATGTTGGGTTTAAAATGTAATTTCAAATTTAACCCAACTTCAACTTTCATACATTTTTTAATTGCATTTTTAACCCACCATTTGGGTCTCTCCATATTTTACACAAATTTGGGTTGAGTGTAGTAACTAACATTAAAAATGAAATAAAAATAAATGCAAGCTAGACAGCAAAAAATGCTAAGTTGTTTCAACCCAGGTTTGGGTCAAATACTGTATGGACAAACCCAACCATTTACATTTTTCAATTACATTATAAATCAAACGGTTGGGTTTGTCCACATTTTACCTGAACGTGGGTTGAAACAACCCAGCATTTTTTAAAGTGGAGAAAATGTAATCAAAATGACAAAAGCACATAACAAATGTGCTTCATATTAATAAATGACAATTAATAAATAGTAAAATTGTAAATAATACTAAACTTACACTAATAAAGACACATTTGAGTGCCTCTTATCAACCAAATGATCCATAGATATGATTAATTACACTCAAAAAAAAAAAATGCTAGGTTGTTTCAACCCAAATTTGGGTCAAATATGGACAAATACAAATGTTAGGTTAAAATATAATTATAAATTTTAACCCAACTTCAACTTTCACTTTCAATTGTAAATTTTTTAATTGCATTTTTAACCCAACATTTGGGGTTTGTCCATATTTTACCCAAATTTGGGTTGAAACAACTCAGCATTTTTTAGAGTGTAGTAACTAACATTGAAATAAAAATAAAGCTAGACACCAAAAAATGCTAAGTTGTTTCAACCCACGTTTGGGTCAAATAGTGTACAGACAAACCCAACCATTTACATTTTTCAATTACATTATAAATCAAACGGTAGGGTTTATCCACATTTTACCCAAATGTGGGTTGAAACAACCCAGCATTTTTCTAAAGTGGAGAAAAATAAATAAAAAATGACAAAAGCACATAACAAATATGCTTAATATTAATAAATGACAATTAATAAATACTAAAATGATAAATAATACTAAACTTACACTAATAAAGACACAATTGAGTGCCTCTTATCAATCAAATGATCCATAGGTATGATTAATCATTATTTTTACCCCCTCAGGTGTACTCATTTTCTCAACAAAACAATCACATTTTTTTCCTGATCATTTTTCCCTTCTTTTTTTCTTTCTGATTCTTCAAAATAAGCAGCATTTTTGCTGCGGTCCTGTTTCATAATTCAATGTTAACGCCCTCTCACATGTTAAATACGATACAGCCCTGCACTCACAAGCTAAGGGTTAATGCTCGTTCCAGGTTTTAACTGTCCCATCTTTGTCTATACTCTATAGTGACAGAAATTGTTAAAATCAGACTGAAACATGATAAAAATCTAATTCAGCCACTGGTATCAAACATCAGGATCCTTCAGAACTATAAGCAGAGAACCAACTTCTGATTATTTCACTCACTTGTCATTAAAGGGTTAGTTCACCCAAAAATGAAAATTAAGTCATTAATTACTCACCCCCATGCTGTACCAACCCCGTAAGACCTTCGTTCGTCTTCGGAACACAAATGAAGATATTTTTGATTAAATGTGAGAGCTGTATAACTACCACATTGGCTCCTAAGGGACTGCCTCTTGACGGCCCAGAAAGTCAATGAAGAAAATGTTTAAATATCCCAAGTGACTACCGTGGCTCAACTATATGTTTATCAAGCGACGCGAATACTTTTTGTGCGAAAAAACAAACAAAAATAACGAGTTTATTCGACTATTTCTTTTCTTCCTTGTAGGCCAGAACGAGACTTCCTTAGATTTCCACGACGCATGCGCGAGATTTGCGATCTGCTCACACCAGCTTACACTACTTCAGATCGCAATTCTCGCGCATGCGTCGTGGAAATCTAAGGAAGCCTCGTTCTGGCCTACAAGGAAGAAAAGAAATAGTCGAATAAACTCGTTATTTTTGTTTGTTTTTTCGCACAAAAAGTATTCGCGTCGCTTGATAAACATATAGTTGAGCCACGGTAGTCACTTGGGATATTTAAACATTTTCTTCATTGACTTTCTGGGCCGTCAAGAGGCAGTCCCTTAGGAGCCAATGTGGTAGTTATACAGCTCTCACATTTAATCAAAAATATCTTCATTTGTGTTCCGAAGACGAACGAAGGTCTTACGGGGTTGGTACAGCATGGGGGTGAGTAATTAATGACTTAATTTTCATTTTTGGGTGAACAAACCCTTTAAATTTAGGAATTACTGTCTAACAATAATCTAACCAGCTTCATCTTATCTCACAGTGTCTGGGCAGGATTGTGACTATCTTAGATCAGAACATTGGGGGACATTGAAACATTGTTTCATTAAATGGCCAAAAAATTGAGTTCTTAAAGTTACAGTACAATTTTTAAAGAGCTTCTATTGTAAAGATCAAGGATGATTTGATAGCTCGTGATATGACCCCTGTAAAAGGAAAGTCTAGACTGTATTGTCTTTATCTGTATTGTCTTTATCAAGTAATTCTTACCACAGTTGGGCAGTGTGAGCATAGCCAGAGCTCTCCTCTTCCCTCCCTCCTCCACACACATCAGCTCCTCGGACTCCTCTCCTCTCCACTGCTTCAACCACACGTTTTCACACGAGCACTGCAAAGTATTGCCTGCCAGCAACCTGCCACATACCAATGCACACAAGTGTATTATAACAAACACGCCGTACTCACACAAGGACCCAAATAACTCTACATGCAACCTGGTTAGACTGCATCATTATCAGGATGATGTATCTTATGGATATGGACAGTGTTAAAGGTGTAGTTCACTTTTAAAAAAAACTTTTGCTGATAATTTACTCACCCCCATGTCATCCAAGATGTCCATGTCTTTCTTTCTTCAGTTGAAAAGATTAATTAAGGTTTTTGATGAAAACATTCCAGGATTTTTCTCCATATAATGGACTTCATTGGGAACCAAACGGTTCAAGGTCCAAATGAGAGTTTCAGTGCAGCTTCAAAGGGCTTTAAACGACACCAGATGATGAATAAGGGTCTTATCTAGTGAAACGATCGGTCATTTAAAGTTTAAGTTTTATAAGCACAAATGCTCGCTTTGCTCTGTTCTGTGATGCGCGTTCGCGACTCTCCTGTTCCAAATGAACTAATCTTTTTTTCGAGTCATTTGGTTCATTCAACGAATGAAATGATTCAAAAAGGTTCATTCATTTTGATAAACGAGTTCGAACAGGAAAGCCACGAACGCGCATCACAGAACAGAGCAAGCATTAGGCTTATGAATTTTTTTTAAATGACTGATCGTTTCGCTAGATAAGACCCTTCATCATCATCTGGTGTCATTTAAAGCCCTTTGAAGCTGCACTGAAACTCATTTTGACCTTGAACCGTTTGGTTCCCATTGAAATGCATTATATGGAGAAAAATCTTAAAGGTTTTCATCAAAAACCTTAATTTCTTTTCAACTGAAGTAAGAAAGACGTGGACATCTTGGATGACATGGGGGTGAGTAAATTATCAGCAAGTTTTTTTTTAAAAAGTGAACTACTCCTTTAAGGACAACACATTACAAGTAACACAAGTCATGTAATCAGATTACTTCTCGAAGTAACTAGTAAAGTAATGCATTACTTTTAAATTTGCAACAAATATCTGAGATCCTTTTTTCAAATAAATAAAACAAGTTACTTTTTTTACTCTTTTGACTGACAGCTGTCTTGTCCTTATGTGAGAGAAATCGGGAGTGTGTGTGTGTGTGTGTGTGTGAACATGATGAGTATTGTAAATGTGAACATGCAGAAAAGCAGATTCAGTATTCCTCAAAATGAATGAAAACAGCGACATGCAAACTCTATTATTAAGCAAATCTCCAATAAATAAATGTTGAATATACTTTATGCATTTAATCTCACTTTATTTTCCGATGTCTTTTCTGCTGACCTCACTGATCCGATTCAATACCAAAAAGCAAAACTGGAAAATCCAGTTTATCGGACAATATTTTCAAGAGTGGCTGGCAACCAGTCCTGTTTGACTGATTCCAAAATTTAGCAAATTTACCAACAACCTTGAAAATTTACTCTTTTTTTTAAAATATATATATATATTTTATTCTTTTGAATAGTTTTGTAATATATTATTTAATTGTATATTGTGTGCAAGCATTATTTGCTAAAGAAAATGAAAATGAAATAGAAAATGAAATATCATATTTTATATTTTATATATTATATATCATATTTTAATCACCAAGACCAAAACAAACAGAGACACAGCATACACTGAATTCTAACTGTAGTATATCTTCAATAAACACTCCGAGACTCACAGGGATGAAATGTTTAAATGGTGAAAAGTCCTCCAGGATAGATACGACAGATTGTTCTCTTTGAGATTCCTGAAAAAGGAGGCAATGATCAACACTGATACTAAATTTCCACAATATCAGATGTTTGTACCTTTGTAAACAATCGAAACACGCTAAATTGAACCTTCACCTCATCCAAAACCAAAAACACTCACATATATTGTAGTTTCAGGTTGCTCTGAAAGGCCTGCCTCGAAATATATGTGAGTTTCGTGTTTGTTACAGTTCTGAGGGATAAGACAAACACCGATGTAATTTCCATCTCACCGCATTTAAAGAACATACAAGTTGTTCCACATTTTAGTACTCACAAGTTTCTGAGGTTGCGGTACAAGTTGAGATCTTTTTCATTAATGGATGTGAAACTGCTTTGATTTGCAATGTATCTGTAAACAGCAACAAGAACATACTCTTTAAAAGAAAATCAAGTGTGATTTGTAACCTAAAGTCTTCATTGGCATCTGGCTCATATCATTGTTTTTGCAAACATACCAAGAAGAGAATATAATGGCAATAATAATGTGGTTTCCACTTATAAAATTACTTTGGCACAGTAATTCAAGTACAATAAATCAAATTGAATAAATCACACGATTATGCAAGTTAATGACGCTGTAATTCATTGGCTGGCCGTTGACACAACATGCATGACCACCTTCAGTGACCCTTGCCATCTCTTGTATGACTTACATGTCTGTGATATTCTCCATCTCTGCTTCGGACTGCAACATTGGAAAAGCCATAATACTGCGCTCCGCATCCACGCACGAGATCCGCACGCCCGTGCACGTGCAGAGCTCCGGACAAGCGGTTCCGGGCCTCCAGAGCGCGAGCAGCACCAGAACCAGAACCCAACAGAACCCCCAGCCCGCCATGCCGAAGCCCCTCGACAGCAGGCTCATCCCCGGGTCCTCGCCTCCAGATTTAAGACCCCCTGGAAACCGACGCGTGGAGAGGAGACGGCGCAAAACACACGCGCCCGCGTCTGGTGCGTCCGAGCGCGAGACTCGCAGATCGTGAGACTCGGTCGACCTTGTCTCGGGCGTCTATCTACTGAAGTGTCCGTAATCCTCTCTCCCTCTCGCCTCTGTGTGTGTCGCTCTACCTCGAATGATGCTGCCGTTAAATGCAGAAGACGCGCACTTGAGAAACGCGAGTGCTGAAGTGAGGGAGCGCGAGCGCTGGATGGATGATGCACATCTGAGGGGAGGAGACGAGGAGAGGAGGAGAACGGACCATTAAAGCACTTTATTGATTATTGACAATGACATCCTTACACCGATCAAGACTTGAGAGTTTAAAGTTAAGGCGTATGGAACTATGGATAAATCGCATGCGAAGCCCTGTGATTCCGTTAGGCCTATCTATATATCATGTCAATGCAAGTCAGGACAGTTGTTTTAGCTCCTTTCAGGAATGTTGCTCATATTATGGTAATGACAGCCACTAATTAGCACAGGATTCCTGAAAGACTAAAAAGGAGGCAAATCGGGGCTACGTCATCATCTGAGGGACGATCGCTGTTTGAAACATCAGGAGCCGCTGAGACATGAGGGAAATCTCGTGATCGGTGAATCTGAATCCGTTTTTGGAATTTTGAAATGAACGAATTGCTCTCGTTTCCACCATAGACTGTAGAAAATAGGTTTCCACTCGTAGTTTTCGACATCCCCTGAAGTATTTCTCTTTTGAAGCGCGTTTTCAAACTGGGGTCCAGTCGGGATGTCTACACTCACTCACTCTTTTTTTTACTCATGTTCTTCAATTCAATGTTATTATTCAATTCAATTTGATGGAATCGTACTATTAATTTAAAAGATAAATCTGGAAAACATGCTTAATCTTTGGGTTTGGGTGTCCGTGGAAAAAGTCTAAAGAAAGCAGTGTGAAGCAATATATATATGAAGAGTTCAGATGCAAAAGCCTCTAAGTGCCATTTAAAATTTTCTTCTAAAATTATCATTTTTATCAAGCTTGTAAATTTAAGTTCAGTAATTTCATTTAAATGGCAATGAAGATTACCTATTAATTGTAATTTAAGTGAAATTACTGAACTTAAATATACAAGCTTGATAAAAATGACCATTCTAGAAGAAAATTTCAAATGGCATTTAGAGGCTTTTGCATCTGAACTCTTCATATATATATATAATATTACATATTATATATAATTCGATTAAACTAAATAAAGTAGGCCTGTTACAGCCTAAATAAATTGAATGCAACACATAAAACAAACAAAATTGATTAAAATTAATACACCTTAAAAATGATTACAGTCCAACAGAATAAACTTAGCAGGAAAAAAAGCGTAATGTAACATATAGAAACCAGCAATGACACTATTGGTTCAGAATTTTGATACAAGAATTGTGGCTAAATCACAATAGATTTATATGCTATTATTAGTTTTATGATGATGATGATGATGATGATGATGATTAGCAACGGATTATAGGCCTATGCTTTGTTGTCTAGTCTAGATATTAAACTTGATATAAATGTCTCTCTTGTATCAATGGCATGCCTTTTTCAAACAGTGATCGTAACTCAGATGATGTTTTTATAGAGTAGAAAGCCTAGCTGTCTCCGAACAGAAAATAAGGGCTAGAGTGTTGGCGGGCGGCCTTAGTTGCACATTTATAGGCTAATTGCTTATTTATGTCTATGTGGTGTTTTTTAAATATGAACAAACAATGTAGCCTACATTCATCGACAGCATTGCTGAGTATTTTCTCCCTAAAACTGCATCGAACCAAGTTTCTGACGTCACAAACTACATTGCAACCAATCAGGTCATTGTGTGATCGTCAAAGAGTGGATCTATGAGCTGCTGTGAGTGAATGGAGGCGGGTCTATGGGATAATTAGCATATTTATAGAACCGAGTATACTAAATGAAGCAAGGGTGTAGTGTAGTAGCCTACATTCAAGCTATTTTAAGGCATTTTTTTCCTCAGGAAAAAAAGTTTTGCTAATCAAAAATTAGTTTTAAGGGATCAAATTATTGACTATAGGGGGACTTTAACTAATCGAATGATGACTCGCTATCGCTAATAACACAAAAGGGCACTCACTTGTCGCCACCTGGTGATTGAACGAATCGTTTTAATGAACCGATTCAGAAAAGCAGCTCGTTGCCCGGGTCAAGCATCATTCTAATGACGTCAAGACTGACGCACGACGCGGGAAAATAAATCAGAGGAGAATTAGATGAGCGCACAAGTGTGCAGTTTACATGCACTCAGTTAATGACACCAGTATTTTTAGGACATGACCCAGGACCATAAACGCATTACATAAAGATATACTTCATTATGAAAGCCCTGCCTTTTTGTGGTCTTGAATTGTGCATACTTTTCCACTACAGAGCTTTTTTTTTCCCACCTGTAACCAGCAGAAAGAAGAGCATCTGCTGGTTCATTAAATGGCCCATTTGGGATGTAGAAATGCAGAATTACACTCCACTGCTGCCATCTAACGGTACACATTGGTATTTGTTTAAGCACTTTTAAGCACAATGCTAAAGGCAAGCATCACAATTAAGCTATTGTTTCTTATATATATAGGATGACGGATTTAAAAGTCGCAGTCATTTGTGCTATATGAATAATAGTGTGTAGATTGAGTACAGTTGTAGCATTTGTTGCCTTTTGCTATGCACATGCAGCCTTTTGTCTACTAACAAAAAGTCAAAAGCTGCATATTTGTTATTGTCCATAATTAATTAATTTAGTATTAGCCTACTACTTATACTACACTGATTTTAATGTGGTATTAGATATTAGGATGTTCTCAAAAACCTAATGGCCTGGTTTGAGAGACAGGATTTAGATATTTAGACATTTTTAACTTTTATAAACGTGTCATAGGAAAAAACAACAGTAATGCATTTTGAGACAAAACATTGACCGATCTATTTTAAGATACGTCAGTGCAAGTTGCTTTCAGTTAAAATAGCTCAAACATGGATTTTTGACTGGGAGACCCTTTTCTGTGAAACCGGGGAGAAATGTCTCATAAACGATATTTTGAGAACAACAAAGCAGTAATTACAACAGACCAGCTTTTTTTTCATGATCACCATGGTCAGCCTGGTCTTAAAACCCCCTCGAAAACTTTTAAAGCTTTGACCGGGTCAGATCCTTAACAGATCTGTGAACTTGTAAATCCAAATCTATCTGTTAGATCTCTGAGGTCTTCTGAACAAAGATTGTTGATGGTGCCGAGATCTAGATCAAAGTTGAGAGGTGACCGTGCTTTTTGTTGTTGTGAGGAATCGTCTTCCTGTTTCCCTCAGATTAGTTTAATCAGAATCTTAATTTAAATCCAAGTTAAAAACCTATATTTTTGTCCAGGCATAGAACTGTTTTATACACACTCACCTAAAGGATTATTAGGAACACCATAGTAATACTGTGTTTGACCCCCTTTTGCCTTCAGAACTGCCTTAATTCTACTTGGCATTGATTCAACAAGGTGCTGAAAGCATTCTTTAGAAATGTTGGCCCATATTGATAGGATAGCATCTTGCAGTTGATGGAGATTTGTGGGATGCACATCCAGGGCACGAAGCTCCCGTTCCACCACATCCCAAAGATGCTCTATTGGGTTGAGATCTGGTGACTGTGGGGGCCATTTTACTACAGTGATGATCTCATTGTTGTGTTCTAGAAACCAATTTGAAATGATTCGAGCTTTGTGACATGGTGCATTATCCTGCTGGAAGTAGCCATCAGAGGATGGGTACATGGTGGCCATAAAGGGATGGACATGGTCAGAAACAATGCTCAGGTAGGCCGTGGCATTTAAACGATGCCTAATTGGCACTAAGGGGCCTAAAGTGTGCCAAGAAAACATCCCCCACACCATTACACCACCACCACCAGCCTGCACAGTGGGAACAAGGCATGATGGATCCATGTTCTCATTCTGTTTACGCCAAATTCTGACTCTACCATCTGAATGTCTCAACAGAAATCGAGACTCATCAGACCAGGCAACATTTTTCTGTTCAACTGTTCAATTTTGGTGAGCTCTTGCAAATTGTAGCCTCTTTTTCCTATTTGTAATGGAGATGAGTGGTACCCGGTGGGGTCTTCTGCTGTTGTAGCCCATTCGCCTCAAGGTTGTGCGTGTTGTGGCTTCACAAATGCTTTGCTGCATACCTCGGTTGTAACGAGTGGTTATTTCAGTCAAAGTTGCTCTTCTATCAGCTTGAATCAGTCAGCCCATTCTCCTCTGACCTCTAGCATCAACAAGGCATTTTCGCCCGCAGGACTGCCGCATACTGGATGTTTTTCCCTTTTCACACCATTCTTTGTAAACCCTAGAAATGGTTGTGTGTGAAAATCCCAGTAACTGAGCAGATTGTGAAATACTCAGACCGGCCCGTCTGGCACCAACAACCATGCCACGCTCAGAATTGCTTAAATCGCCTTTCTTTCCCATTCTGACATTCAGTTTGGAGTTCAGGAGTTCGTCTTGACCAGGACCACACCCCTAAATGCATTGAAGCAACTGCCATGTGATTGGTTGATTAGATAATTGCATTAATGAGAAATTGAACAGGTGTTCCAAATAATCCTTTAGGTGAGTGTATATAACTTAGAGATTTTGAGGCCTCGTCGTGTATTGGTGTTTTGATGTACTAATTTTTTCTCAATTTCATTGCGGTCTTTATTGTTCATATTTACTTTTTATGTTTATTTTAGTTTGGTATTATACAGCAGTGGTCAACTACTGTTGTTTTTCTTGTGCTTTATAAATACATTTTGATTTGATTTAAAACCCACCTGCTAATCCAGCTATGATCGGGCTGGAAGACCAGGGGCCTGTACCATGATGGTTGTTGAACCATCTCAGGGTTACAGGATTAGTTTCGAGTTGATAAAACCAAACCAATCCAACCAGGCTTTGTTGGTACCATGATGTCGATCATCAACTTTCTCTGACAACTCAGGCTATGATCCTGAATTTAGGAGTGAGTTGATAGAGAAAGTTGATAATCAACATCATGGTACCAACAAAGTCTGGTTGGATTGGTTTGGTCAACTCGAAACTAATCCTGTAACCCTGAGTTTGTTCAACTACCATCATGGTACAGGCCACAGCTAAACAGCTTAAGTTGGTTTTAGCTGTTTTATTTTTACCCCTGCAAGGCAGACAAGAATAATGCAAGAAAAAAAGCATAACTTACCCACATTTGCAGGAATATGGTCCACATAATTCAAATGTTCCTTGCAAAGAGAAGATGCTTTAAATTGCATGAGAAGGAAAGATTTCTGGGTAGGTAGCAGAAAAATGCAATACCATGTATAAATACAAAAATAAACCAATCAAAATAAAAGAGAAAAATACATTAGATTAAAATACCATAGGACGTTATACATTTACATAAAATAAAAAATTCTAAAACATCTTCTGGAAGGATCTTTAAAAAGTTACACCAGCACCCTGTTACTTAATCTGGCAATAAGGCAAATCATCTGGTCTATTGGAGAATAGCATGCTAAAAAACACGTTAAAACCTCTCAGAACACAGTAGAAAGCCAACATGACATCATGATTTTGCGTAAACATATGCGCCACTTTCGAGTCAAGTGGCGTGTTATCTCTATGCATTTTGAGCTATCCGCGTGTATGTCTACGCCATTAACGTCCGAGTGATTCCGCGTGTCTGTACACGACGTCAAATGTCTGCGCGAACCGAAGCAAAATGTAGATCTACATCTGGGGAGCGATCTCTTTTTTTCCGAGGATGGTAAGGGAACAGTCATAAATGCCATTAACCCCAGTGACGGGTAGATTTAGGGACGGGGTTGAGGTAAGTCATAACTTTAAGTCAACGGCGTTCATAAACACGCTGAAAAGCGATTATGCGTCTTGATAGCACGCCAAAAATGGAAATACGAATTGGCGTGTCATACACACGCTACTTCATGAGATCAGTCTGAAAGCACATAGCAAAAGAAAGTGATGTTGAAATGCTTTATTATTTTTTAAATATCACAGAAGACAATAAAATGTAAACCCACAAAATTCGTACAAAACAAGTAAAGAATACAATGAACTGAAAAATGTATGCATTTTAAAGCCATTTTTCATGAGACTGAGTGAACCAAAACAATTTATTCCACTCAAATCTCATTGAAACTATTACAAACACTGTCAGGTTAGGTTAAGAGAATAAGTAGCGCTTACTTCCTCCTCTCTTTTACTCTTTTCTGTAGTTCGGAGCTTTCTCGTTCCGAGATCGGACTGGCACTCAACACGACTCCTTTTCCCGTCGGGTCCACCTGTACACTCATCATACAGCACATATCCACCAGCTCTTTCTGACAGTGCAGGATCCCACTGTCAGCCTTGCTGCGTCTCGCCGGGTCTTTCCGCAGTTCTCGGACCTCTGTTGCCGAGAAGCCAATGAGATTGGTCAGCATGGCGTCGGACAGATCTACGTTCAAGTACCCGGTTCCATCGGATATGGTGGCTTCAAGTTTCCACGCACCGCCACTGCTGCGCAATTTTCCCACCAGTGTGACAATGAAAGCTTGTAGGCGTAAAACCTGAACACTGACGGGCGGCCAATTGCATGCCTGTAGTGTGCAGAGGTACAAGGGAACTGGAGAGTCTCGTTCACCACCAGAAGATCCACCTGTGGTTGTAGAGGAACTTGCACCAAATGTATCCAGAGCTTCTGGATGTAAGGGTGAGGGTCTGCTTTGGTGAGGAGTTCTGGAGCGAAAACTCAGAGGGTTAAGTTCTTTCGTTTTGGGATAGGTTGGTATCGTGGAGTCAGGTTGCTTGATTTCAGAGTGTTCCCGAGTACTTGGCAAGACTTGCGCATCTATCGGGCTCATCACACTGTCCAGCTCCTCTAACGGGATGTCATCAAAGTCCTCAGGAATGTAGTCCATCATATCATCAGCTGCGTTTTGCGGGACATCGTCAAAATTGTCTGGAATACTTCTGAAGTCATCATCTGGGATTTCGTCCATGTCATCCCAGTTGTCTTCCCTGGATGTGGGCGTCGCTTGCGGACGGGGTTGCAAGTGAAGGGGAGTCGGTCTGAATGAGGCTTCTGAAGTTACGCTGCCATAACCGCTGTCAGGTACCTGATGATCTACCACAGCCAGAAGCTCCCGGTCATCTGGTTCCTCGCCTTGTGGATGGTTCTCCTCAGGCAAGCCAAGTGTCCCACAAAGCAATCTGCCTTGAGAGTACATCTCCAAGAGCTGTTCCACCTCCCCACCCAACACCTTCACGTTCTCGGCTTTCAAGAGCAACACCCCTAGACGCACGGCGATCGGCCCGACTAGCTGTAGCTTCGTACCGGGAGCCAGGTTTGTACTCAGAGCCGGGATGGGCCGGTATTCCATGCCCTCCAGACTTTGCACTCCATCCGTGAGCTGCAACATCAACACACGCGTGGGCTTGGCCTCCCACGGCCTCTGCGTTTCCTGCGTAACAGCCGACACTTGATCGTTGGAGTGGTCGGTTCCCCGAATACGCTGTAGTTGAGTGTAGGCGGGCTGGCTGATGTCTAGCAGAGAGTCCATCTGAACACAGTAACAGCTGTCCAGTTCTGTCTTCAGCACCTCCGAAATCCTTTCGGGAAGAACCGGGTGGGCCAGATCTCGCAGGTCAGTCAGCAGCCATTGCTCCAAGACACGCTGATTCAGCTGCGACTGAGGCACGGATTCTCTATCCGCCTCCTCCTTTATCCAGTTCACACAAGCCTCCAGCCAGGTGTGAGGGACTTGGATGTGGCATTCGGAGCGCAGCCATGCCTGGGTAACCTGGACTTCACCCACTGACATCCTCTCACTGTCCCAAACACTAGAGCTTTACCTTTGAAGCATGGAAAGAGGCAAATGTATAGTAAAGACTTTTTAAATTAACGGATTTATTAAAATATTTTAATTTCCACATCCAATTATGATTAACTAATACATTTATCTTAAAAATGGCATTGTATGATTAAAAAAAAAAACACATTCAAATTATGATATATAGTTCAATATTATTTGGAAACATTACTATTTTTAATGTTTTGGAAAGAAGTCTCTTATGCTCATCAAACCTGCATTTATTTATTAAAAAATACACATAAAAAATACTGGAATATTATTACAATGACACGTAAATTAATTGTTTTCTATTTGAGTATACTTTAAAATAGAATTTATTTCTGTGATGTAAAGCTAAATTTTTAGCATCATTATTTGTTTTTAGTGTAACATGATCCTTTATTATCAATCTTGGAAACAGTTTTCGAAAACAAGATTCATTGATGAATAAAAAGTAAAAAAGAACAGAATTGATTGAAATAGAAATCTTCTTTTACAATATAAATATTTACTATCACTTTTTTTATATTGTTACAAAAGGTTTGTATTTGAAGTAAATGCTGATTTTCTATTACCTTTTTATTCATCAAAGAAACCTGAAAAAAGTATCACAGGTTATAAAAAAGCATAACTGCTTCCAGCATTGATCATAATTCAGCTATATTAGAATGATTTCTGAAAGATCATGTGACACTGAAGAAGACTGGAGTAATGATGCTGAACATTCAGCTTTGCATCACAGAAATACATAATACATTATATAGTACATTCAAAATATAACATTACACAATAATACTGTTTTCTGTATTTTTGATCAAATAAATGCAGGCTTCATTGGCATAATTCACCTCTCATCTGTGTGTGTATTATTATTATTATTTTTAAATATTTTTTCGAAATAAAAAACACATAATTTGCAACTTACTAAACTGTATCACACTACACTATACTATGTACAACATTTTTATGTTTAGTTAAAGTAGATACCTTACCAGAAAATTATTAATTCCACCTTATTCCTGTGCAGGCTGCATGGTTTGCTCTGATAAATGTGTTGCGATCATAACTTCTAACGCCGTTGCCTATACTACGGATCTTCTTGTTACTCCCTTACAGCGACTAAATAAATTTTTGATATTTCATAAAGTACTAAGAAATATCACAATTAGACTTATCTCATTTCAAAAAGCAAAACAACTACTTTCTATGACAAACTTGTCGTGCTAATCGTGAAAGCGGGCATAAATGATTGGCGTTTCAGTTGACCAATGATTGTCCGTGACGCTGCTGGAGTGGACCAATCAGAGCGCGTTTCTATTGTGGAGGGAGGTGCTTTCATTGGTCCAAGCTACATCGCCGTAGAAAGATAGATTTAGTGCGTCATTGTTTTTACGAAGGGGGAGTAAGACAGGAACAGGTCGGTAGGTACATTTCCTGATACAAAACTCATTTTATTATCGGTTTTACACAACAAACCAATACACAATAGTGTTAAACAAGTTCACAGTTTTAAATGGTCGATATACGTTTTCGTGCACACGGATTATTGACGCAGTTTGCATTATTTTTGTCTTGCTAGATAACTAGCCTCTTCTGTGTTAGCTAAAGGAAGCTAGCAGTCCTAATAAGCTATTTCCGCTACTGTAATTTCCAGTTTGGCATGCGTTAAAGAAAGTGTTAGTGTTGTGTATATATATATTTTATTTTTTTTAGCAGAATGCATTGTGTCTACGAGTACTGCTAGTGGAAAAATACTTTATGGTAACGTTAGCTATAGCTCGTTAGCTTCCTGAAACTATCTATTGTTAATTAGCCAGGAAGGCAGCTGATTCCGTACAAGAAGATGGCGACTAATCAAATCATTGAACAGTAATACTGTAAGCCTGTGTTTCAAAGCACTGTATTATATCTAAACAACATCTTTACTAATCATTTGGCGAATAGTTCGTTAGCAACACAGGCGCGTTCCACCGTTCACAAGCCCTTGTGTTGCGCACAATGCTGTCTAGGTAGGCACTAGGCAGCTTAATACTTTTTGATACACAACCAAATTGTAGGTTTGCTTTAATGTTCATTAAAGCAAACCTACAATTTGGTTGTGTATTTAACGTAGAACATATTTATGTTCATATTTATGTTCTTGCAAATATTAGGTATATTGCAGTATATTGTTTCAGTTTTTTTTTCCATTTCTGGAGAATTGCTGCTAGAACATTTAATTTCAGTTCTGCTTTCAATTTATACACACACACACACACACACACACACACACACATATATATATATATATATATATATATATATATATATATATATGAAGAGTTCAGATGCAAAAGCCTCTAAGTGCCATTTGAAATTTTCTTCTAGAATGATGATTTTTATCAAGCTTGTATATTTAAGTTCAGTGATTTCACTTAAATGACAATGATGATTACCTATTAATTGTTATTTAAGTGAAATTACTGAACTTAAATATACAAGTTTGATAAAAATCATCATTCAAGAAGAAAATTTCAAATGGCATTTAGAGGCTTTTGCATTTGAACTCTTCATATATATACAATTTTTTAAAGTATAATTTCACTTAAAATATTGTGTTTTTTTGCTAATCATGCTCCATTGACAAAGATAAGTGTTTATTCTAATTCATTCATTGAATGGTTATTAAAAATATTTTAGAGTTAGAGTTGGGTCTAGTCTAGCATCCTATTATTGGATCATATGACATTTTATTTCATGAACTTTTTGTATTTTCCTTTAGGCATCCGTTAGAAAAGAGAGAGCTGTTCATCTCCGCTTGTTGTAGATAGATTATGGAGCCAGAAAACGACCCGCAGGAAGAGGACACTTACAGCAACAATGAGAGTAACGGTAAGATCCAGAATTAATTTTTATTTTTTTTTTAAAAAGCACCGTACAATTAAAATGGAACCGATGTTTTGAATGTTGTTATTGTGTACTCTTTTCAAAGAAAGAAAAAATGGTCGTCTTCATCTTATTTTCACCACCCACTTCCCAATGGATAAAATCCTGCTTTTCTCTTGTGCAGTATCTGGTTTAACCTTTTAAAGCCAAACACAGGGCTGTCCCTGACCAATTCGCAAGATTTTATATTAAGTGCTCTCTTCTGTGAGGTTTCTCAAAAAAAAAAAAAAAAATCCTTACTTGTCTGGTTTATACTTCTCTGAACAATGTTTGAACTTTGTATTTTGAGCACTTCTTGTGTTATTGCCTCTACACGATGACTTGTTTGATTTAGTCCTCAGATGTAAGTCACTTTGGATAAAAGTGTCTGCTAAATGACTAAATGTATATATTTTACTTGGTGTATATATTGCATCGCAAACTGATTCTACCACTGATCTTTGTGTTAATATTCTCACTTTAGAGCTGCATGTTTGTGGATAAATTGAGGATCATTTTAAAAAATAAAAATCTGAATAGACAACTAAACAAAATAACGTAATTTACTAAAGTTTCTGAAATAAAGTTTATTTGTTTCTGATACTTTAACAGTCTGAAAAATCTAATTTATGTAATGGAGTAGTCTATTTGACCTTTAGACAAAATCATTTTTAAACAAATCAAGCAATGAGCATTTAAAGTGACAAACGCGTGCTTAGAATAAACAGAATGATATGGTCTACTGGTGTGTACACTAATAGTTATCTTTATAGGTTTGAATTGGTTTTAAGTGTCCATCTTGAAATATTGCTGACAATATAACATCTATATATATATGTATATATATATATTTGTTTACTTTTTAAAAATCTGTACAAAAAACACAAACTGTGGGACATTTTTACAATTATAAAACTCTAAAAGACCTTTTACTTGCTTTAAAAAAAAATTCTGTCGATCAGACAACAGCAGGCATGCAGTAGATGGTGTACAACATGTTTTTCAGGATTTTTTTTTTATTATGTTGACAATTTAGAGGCCTTAGGAATTCACCCCATCTGTTTTCTAAATGCATGTTATAGATCTTACTATAAACGGTTCAATTCATGTATAGGTTTGGGTATTTCGTAAATTAATCAAAGTGTCTTAATAGGATCTTTCAGTGAAATGGCGGACCTCTCTTTATTTACATATGCCAAATTATCTAGTCGTTTAGTCCCCTTAAACCTGCAAATCTGCCTTTACAATAGATATTTAACCCTGCTCCTGAAGGCCCACTGTCCTGTAGAGTTTCGCTTCAGCCCTAATCAAACACATCTGAACCAGGTTCAACCAGCTTATCAAGGTCTTCAGGATTGCTTGAAAATCACAAACTGGAGCTGGTTGAATATAAACTTTGCAGGGTAGTGAGCCTCCAGCAGCAGGGTTAAAGACCTCTGGCCTGGACTATTAGGGGCTTTCGCACCAGAAGTGTATGTAAGAGTACACTGATGAGCTGAACGCATGTGAAACACCAGCACCTGTCATTTAACCAAAACTAAATGTGTACACAGTTTATAGCCTATATATTTACTCCACGAACCAACTGTACTAACAAGGAAATCTGATAGATAGACCTCTATACCTTTAGGCTAAGGAGAAAATCCAATGCAACTTTGCAGACACCAAACAAAACATGATTCTTTATTTCTGCGACATTGGGCATCAACCACATTGCAAAAAGTAATACTTTTTATATACTGTCTACTTTATTTGTATAACAAGTTCTATCTAATAACTTACTTGACAGGACTGTTAAACAGGTTGTAAACTAATGAAAATGGCGAATGGGAACACTGTGTGTTCAGGCGTTGGCTTTCTTAGCACCGTCAAAATAAATGTCTGTCGCACTGTCAAAATAAGTCACAACAACAATCCCAGACACAATTCACTTCAGAGTTTCTACTGGTGGTGTGAAGGCAACCAGGAAAATTGCCCTAGGGGAACATTTAGTTATTGGGTAACCACCCTGGTGGCTAGTTCCTATAACTAAAGCCACGTTTCCATCGAAATTTCCCAGAACAATTTGTCACATGAACGTTTTCTTTTCCCCAGACCTGCGTTCTGCATTTCCATTGTGATCTGAAGTACCGTAAAGATTAGGCAAATTAGTCCGGTGACGTAAGACTGTGTACTATTTCCTAGTTCCCGCTGGATTTCTTTCTCTGAACTCAAGCTTAATAAAGCCTGAACCTTGTCGTCTGTCCATTGGTTGTATTTTTTTAAACATTGTTGATTCGAAAAGAGTGCCGAAGTTACGACGTCACTCTGTAGGCCAAAACGCGGAAGTGAGTTAGCATTTTAGCATTTCCGGTTCCCTCGCTCTAAAGTCTATGGGTTTTTTTTGAATGGGTTTTTGCTAAATTGCCTTAAATAAGGTCTGTGGTGAACAAAGCCTCTAAACATTTTCACGTTTTGATCTATGATATAAAACACACCAGTTATAACCTGCTTGTGGTTTTTTAAACTTTATTGTGTCTGCTTGTGTTTTTAAAAATGTTTATATAGGCTTCAAAATGTATACATTTTGGATTAACTTGTAGAGATTATCTTGATAGACCAAACGTGTCACAAAGATAGACCAAAGGGTCACAAATCTTTGTTAAACACAGATCTTATTTTTTCAGATTTTCCAAAAGTCTATGGGGAAACTGCATAACTTTTCGATCGAGGGAAGGGAACCCATGCGCCGCTAGCTTCCGAGTTGTCCTACAAAGTGACGTCATCACTTCGGCACTCTATAGAGAGCCTAAGTCCCTCCCCTTCCGGTCGACCACCATGGGACCTTATTTCGGAAAAATTTTGAATGGTTAGGGCTAGGGTTAGAGTCAATGGCGAGAGACAACAAATATTTTGATCTCGTTTGAATTGTGCCCTGAATTACACATATGATGTTTGTCAATTTAAAAGATACATTTTAAAGTAAAGAAAGTCGCAGTTTGATGTAAAACCGTTGAGGTATAAGACTATGAAAATACATAATTACAAAGACTACAAACCAAAGGCTTGTAATTACGAACAAGGCTTTTTCTCTCAATGAATGAAGCTAACTTTACTAAACCTAATGTCTGTCATTGTTTCTATAGTCTTACGTTATAATCGTAACGCTACGCCGTCATGCCTGAGTGTTTTGTACCAGACAGCACGCACACGAGCAGCGGATCTCGCTCGTTGTTTCGCTTCCCGGGAGATGTAGTTCACAGAGCGATTTTCACATAAAACTAAATGTTACTCTTCTGTTGTATGACAAACTGCAACGTTTTTGACTTTCAGAATTAGCTTTTAAATTGACCAACATCATATGTGTAATTGAGGGCACAGATCAGACGGAATAAAAAGATAAGTTGTCTCTCGCCATTGACTACCATTCATATTTTTTCCGAAATAAGGTCCCATGAGCCGGAAGCGGAGGGGCGGGACTTAGGCTCTCTATAGCAAACAACTCTTACTGCACGGCACTGCAACAGACTTTTAAAAATGGTGGTTGCATCGAAATGCTGCGTGAACTCAACCAATCACCCAAGTCCCACCCCTGAAAGTTCCTAAACGTAGAAAGTCCATGCTGACGTGTTAATACTTTTTCAGAGGGGCAATTTTTTGTTAAAATTTGGTTCCTGCAGTCAAAACACAAGGAGTACCAGCCAAAAGTTCCTTAAGCTTAAGTTCCTAGAACAACCCGGTCCAATCTATCACGCCCACATCTCAAGATCCAATTAACAACCAATGCATACCCTACTTTCCCCAACCAACATTTTTCTTTTTCCGATAATGTTGCACTTTAATGCAGTGTTTCTTAATCCGGTTCCTGGAGGAACACCAACATTACACATTATCAAACTCTTCCTAATCAAACACGCCTGATATTCAACCCATCAGCTCAATAGTAGAGATTCCAAGACCAGAAATATAGGAGTCAGATAAGAGAGACATCCAAAATGTGCAGTGTTGATGTGCTTCCAGGAACAGGGTTGGGAAACACAATCTAATATGTCACAATAATGAAGAAAAGATCTGTCGATAGTTCCAGTTCATTGCATCTTTTTTGTGATAAATGTACGTGTTGAAAATGCCATTTCAGGTAAGCGTTCTGCTGAGGATACCGAGGAGGACATGCCCCATAAGCGTTCAAGAAATTCTGACGACATGGTGGAGCTCAGAATTCTGCTACAGAGCAAAGTAAGTCCCTGAGTTTCCCATCACTTCTATGTTTCGTTTCTCATCTTGTACCTCAATGCTGATTGGGTCTTCTCTGCAGAATGCCGGTGCGGTGATCGGAAAGGGTGGGAAGAATATTAAAGCTCTGCGCACCGATGTGAGTACTCGTTTGTTTAGTTTGCACATTCTCACTCTTTACACACACACACAAACTGTGGTAGATGGAGCTCAGATGTCTGTAGAACTGGGTTATAATATGGTAATGCTAGTATGTATAAAAAGCAACAGAGCACTTTAAACTCATCATCCAAGAAAAAAGAAAAAAAAAAGATAGATTTTGTGGAGCCAAGGCAGTTTGTGTTACAAAAACAGTGCTGTGTTAGAAACACCCCACATTCTACTGTACTCTTTAGTTAATTGAAGAGTATATGAATCTTTGATACTGGCTAAAATAGTATTTGGCCTAGTAGATATTCTCATAATCTGTTCCTCTCCTGTTCTCCATTCTCCTCCAACATTATGAGAATTGAAAGTCACACTGAAAGTGTTTCCAATTAAAAAATGTATTCCTCTTCCACTCCCTCTCCCCTTTCCTTGTTTTTTGTTTTTATTTTTCTGTTCATTTTTGGCCAATTCCCATATTCCGGATCGACTCGTACCGCCCACCTGCATTGCCGCCTGACCTCCTGACTCCCTGGTTGGCCACACCCATAATCGCGCCCTTCCTATTGGGCGGCTTACTTGATTGACATCTGTGTGCTTGATTGCTCTGGGTACTTGGCCCCGCCCCCTGCAGTACAATGCCACTGTGTCAGTCCCAGACAGCAGTGGGCCCGAGCGGTACGTGCCACTCAGATACTCCAACCTCCAAGTCATATCAGCTCTGTTACTGCCAATATCAGAACTGTTTTAACATCCTTAATGTACAAACTGCTCCCTTTCTGCCATGAAACATGAGTGTGATGCTGCCATGACGAGCAATATGAATTTATAATGTTGTGCTGTGTTCAAATGCCTTTTCTGTCATGTAAGAAAGCCCTTTCCCTCCCTGTTTCCCTCTCACTGACGGGGAAATGTCCTCCTTCCACAGTTTTCATTTGAAAGGTTTCTTGCTAATACAAGGCTGAATTTAGTTATGGTGAAGGGGCAGTGCAGAATATATTTCTCCCTTTTGTCTGTTGCATTGGTTTACTGTGGCATTTGACTTGAACTTTGCTCTTCTGCCTCCCTCCCCTCATCTATCTCTGCTATTTCTCTCTCTTCTCTACTGGATCTGGGACCTGCTTCATTCATGTTCATCTGTGCCATTCTCTCTGCACTCTTTCATACCTGACCTTCCCTGTATCTTCACCTTTCAGCGACGGGAAGGAGCTTCAGTTTGTTTTTCTTTGTTTTCCTGTGTTCTCTACTCTTTTTTGACAAAGGAGTGCATGACTCTCTTTGGGGTCTGTTCCCCCTCGCATTTAAATGTGCTAAAAAAAAAAGAAGCACTGACCGTTTTCTTCAGGCTGTTTGTGTGTCTAATATACGCTCTCTTCTCCTTCCCTCGTGGAATGCAATTCATTACATTGACAGAATCCTAAGCGTCAGTGCTGATATTCCCACGGTAGCTGAGATCTTGCTGAAGATCATACCTACTCTAGAAGAGGTGAGTGTTTTTTTTGTTGTTGTTTTTTTCAGGGGTTTTTTCACAACTCAAAGGAGATGGGAGTAGGGGTGGGTGATGCGTTTATTTTTGAGCCATGCGTGTGCTCCAGACTGTGATGTACTAGCAGCCAAAAAACAAAGAAAACAGCAAAAAATAGCACAGAAGCCTGAATCAAGTCAGCTTGTGTGACTTGATTTTCTTCCCATTATGGGATGTGCAATTTTTAGATTACAATTTACAGATTACAGTTACAAATGTTACTAAAATAGGCATGTAATATCATAATATAGATCTATCAATCAATATACTCCCGAATCGTAATCGTTGCACATTGTTGTTTTGAGGTATCAGCAATAGGAATGGGACGATTACCGGTTTCACTATAAACCACGATAAAATGTACTGTCGGTTAGTATTGTCGTTTAAAATGTAATTATCATTAAAACCGTGTTTGATTATTGCAATTTTAATAGCTCACTATAAATCATGTCCACAGTCTGACGCAGGCGTGCAGCGCGGCAAGTTGTTAATTGTTTTATACGAGAAGGAATGGCGAAAGGAAGTGACCGTGTTTGGGAGATTTTTCAGCCTTTTAAGAGGACCAAATCTGAGGTGTGGTCATATTTTGGTTTTTACAAAAGTCCTGAGGGGAAACTTAATCGAGGATGGTCACCTTGTCTGCTGAACGATTGTCTTGTATGACCATCACCCTCTGTTGTAAATTGTAGTGAGCGCAAGGCAAGTTAACCTTGACCCAAATACCAAAACTACGTCTGGGAAATAATTGGGCACAAAATGTTATTATGAGTTGAAATATTTTATATCACTCACTTGAAATAAACGTGAAGCTTCCGCAAAGAAACGTCTGTAGCAAGTGGCTCGAGCAAAGACGAACACGTTCAATAAAGAGTGACATTTAAGAGATACAAATGCAACTTTATATATTTATTGTACACATATTATATATAACCGTTTTTTTTTTTTTTTTACCACATAATTAAGTTATAGGGACATATTGAATTGAGATTAATGTTTTAAATCTTAACGCTACCTGTTAAATCTATTCTGTACAGCGTACAAAACTCATCCTGACAAGATGATCACAACAATATAATCAAACTCTGTAAATAATAAATCATCTCTGATTTAATTTTCAATACAATCAAAAACGGAGACTCAAGAGTCGAGACGGCAAGTTGTATTTGAATGAAATGAGAGCGCGTGATATATGGATGTGCTGTGTAATTTGTTGCTATTGACGACGGTCATTATAAGGAAGGAAATGCCACAGAATAGAATCTTGCTTTAAAAAGCGCATAGAGATTATTGTTTTATTGTTGTTTTCTTGTTTGTAGATTTATTAAATAAAAAACTTTTTTTTTTTTTAATTTTCAGTGTGGACATAAGTTGTTCTTGAACACTTTCATCTCGTTTTAACAAAACCGTGATCAAATCACAATAATTTTGGCGAAATGTTCATACCGTCCCATCCCTAATCAGCAAATATGGTCCCGCTGGCAATGAGAATCAAAATCATATCGTGATGAACTGTCCGATTTACACCCATACATGGTAAAAAAAAAAAATATATATATATATAGACCATTTCACAAGATGTAAACAACACTGGTCCAGAAGCACTTCCTGTTTCAGTTTTTTAACACTACATAAAAGCTGGGATAAAATACAACCAACAGAACATTTAAAACTGAATCAAAAAGTTAAACAACATCTTTATGATGTTTTCTTTACATGTGAAATAAAGAAAACAGTTACAAACTGAAACAGGAAGTGCTTCTGGACCAGTGTTGTTTACATCTTGTGAAATGGTCTATATATATATATATATATATATTTTTTTTTTTTTTTGACCAAAGTCTTTTTTTTGACCAAAGTATTTTAAAAGAATTGTCATTTATATCAGCCACTCCTGGATGAGAAGTTACACATTCACTGAAGCTGTTACTGTATACTTAAATGGCACCTCTGATTCTCTGATTGGTTGGAGCAGTATCAACATCATAAGGGCGTGGACTTTGACTGTGAGCTGAGGCTGCTGATCCATCAGAGTCTAGCTGGAAGCATCATCGGCGTGAAGGGTGCCAAGATCAAGGAGCTTCGTGAAGTAAGACACTAAGATGAGACTTTTCTCTATAAAATATGAATTTTATAGCGCTGAACAAAAAACTTCTGTTCTAGAGCACCCAGACCACCATCAAGCTCTTTCAGGAGTGCTGTCCTCAGTCCACTGACCGTGTGGTGCTTGTGGGGGGCAAGGCAGAGCGGGTGGTGCAGTGCATTCGGACCATGCTAGAGCTCATTGTGGAGGTCAGATTGACGCATCATTTGACGGAGCTGTTTGGTGTTAGACGTGTTTCTCATTACCACTCTCTCTCCAGGCTCCCATTAAAGGTAGAGCACAGCAGTATGACCCTAACTTTTACGACGAGACCTACGACTATGGTGGCTTCAGTACGGTGTATGAAGAGCGGGGCCGTCGGCCAATGGGAGGCTTCTCTTCTCGAGGGGGGCGTGGCAGCGGAGGAGGCTTTGATCGAATGCCCCCCAGTGGAGGTCGTGGTGGCCACCACATGCAGAGCAGGAGAGACTACGATGACATTAGCCCACGCAGGGGCCCCCCTCCACCCCAACGAGGGGGAAGAGGAGGGGGTCGTCCCCCACGAAACATGCCCATGGGACCCCCACACCACAGGAGAGGGTGAGTCACTTCAATCTATCTATATATATTTTTCCGTCGACATATAAAGACTGGAATACACTACATGCCTTTTGCCTTGATTTTCCCCTTATTTGCAGTCTGGACAAGTCAACGCTAGTAGCTGAAAGTCAGAGCCAGTCTGCAGATTTTGGGCAGTCGGCGTTGACAGCCTTCAGAGAAAAACGCGTAGTGTATGATGGGCACAGAGTGTCATAGGATATCACACATCTTTGATATTATGAGCCGATTGTAGAACATTTGCTCATTGAGGCTCAAGTTTATGTTCAGAAGAGCAACTTTGAGAAAGTCTGTTAGTTTGTAATCGTCAGTTGTTTTGTGTGATGTCCAGTTTTTCAATAACTATAGTTGTGTAGTGTATTCCAGCCTTAACATAAATAGGGTCTAAGAAACTTTAGAATGTGTGTTTGGTTTCTGCCAAGAGTTTTAATTTTGGTTTATCGTTAAGAATTGATTTATCTTCCGCTGAATAAGTGTTTGGATGCTGTGTTTCTAACTTTACAGTGATGACCAGTACTCCTACAGTTCCCAGCGTGGCCACATGGAAGAAAGACGACAGTAAGTTCTTTACTTGGATCAGTGCTGTTCAAGATTTCCCTCGTCATCAGCTGTAATGCTTTCTTGTGATGTGTAGTAAATCATTGTATGCCATATTTGTTGATTTTCTTTTTTTTTTCTCCAGTGGGGAAAGACGAGGACGCAATGATCGTTATGGAGGCAGCATGGTCAGTATTCAGTTTTTTTGTAATTTTATGATCGTTCAGTTTCAAGAAATGACTCGATCTACATTTTAAAAACCACAGGCCATCTCAATTACAAAAAAAAACATTAACATGCCCACCTGCTTGCTGCCACATCTCTTCAATGAGGTTGTGAAATGGACAGAGGAGTTTCAATTCTCCAGCAAGAATTTTTTTTCAGTCAGACTTGCATAAAACATTTGCAGCAATTAATAAACTACAGTGATCCAATACATTCCAGATTGACAATCAAATACTGCCCTACACTTCTTTGACCTTTTGAGAAGCCAAAATATACATATCTTATTTACATCACAATTTCCATTTCATGCTGACTTTAATTTTCCTTAACAATAGCATCTAAAACCGCAGCTCAACTGTTACCTGGTAGCAGGTTAGGTTTGAGTAGCTAGGTGCCTTGGAAATAAAGAGAGGGACACATTGTTTACTGTAAGTTGCCTTCAAACATTTATGTTTGAGGTTTTTAATTCTCACCTTCTGTTCTGTTCTCTCTTGATTTACAGAATGATGGATATGGTAAGTTTTTCTTTAAATATATTTTATTTCTTTGCTTTTTGTGTGTGGAAATGTTCCTTTGTCACCTTTCAGTCTCACCAAAGTCTTTATAAACTATCTGACTAACTTATTCTGGCTGCACACTTAGACAAATAATATTGGACTATGTGCGACGCAACTAACCACAATTTTGTGTTGTATGCAGTTTGAATTAGATGGAAGGGGAAATTATATTTCACTGATTTTCCTTTATCTCACCAAAAAAGGAAATAGCATTCGCTTACTAAAGTATGATGCTAGTTTTTCTGTTGAGAAACTCGCATTCCCTGCATTCCCTGATATTTTTTTCTTGGACCACATATTTCCGTCACAAAATTTTTGCATGTGAATACAAAGTTTCTTGTGGACAGGGGTGGCTTTTGATAATGCAGTGAGGCTGCCATTTACTATTAATAAAAAAAACAAACTTTTTTTAATATGGGAAAATGTTAATTAAATATGATTCAATATAAAATGAAATAACAAAAATAAACATTGAACACACAGTGAACACACTCTTTGGTTGTTAAGAATAAACCCCCAATTTATCTTTCATAATTTTGCTGCATATAGTTACTGTAGGCTACAACCGTTTTAAACATGGATAAATGGTTATCAACAGGGTCGCTGAAAAGGACAAATGCAGAAGTTTCTCCGTCTACAAGTAAGGATAAATTTGCAGCAACGCCTGACATCCAAAATACTGAAAATATAGTTGAGCGAAGAAAGAAGCTAGCGCTAGTCTTCACATGTGTGGTAGCGGAGAACAAGCAGAAATGAAGATTTACATTATTATAGTTTTACTTTACACATTATTTTACCGGAATAGGCTTCAAGTTAAGCCTGATCTCTGTTTGAAACATTTTTCTCTTTAGTCCGACATACAGTGCAGGACATTTTTTGCAGTGTTGAGCAATGTTAATTTCTGGAACGCAATAGCCAATCAGAGGTGTTTTAGTCAGAATCCATTATCCGTTTAAAACACCAGTTTTTCATTTCCGTTACAATTCTTGCTGTGAGTTGGGAAAGGCTGAGAACCGCTGTTGTGCAGTAAAGATTATTTACTTTTTCTTTTTGTGTTTCTCAAATCAGACAATAATTCATCTTGGGATTCCTCCTATCAGTCTGGTAAGTACGGCACCCTGTTATAATAAGATGGGTACACACCAAACCCATGGCAAAATACTAGTGCTGATGAAAGCCAAAGAGGTTGCACTTGAACACTGCACAGAATAGGCACCTGCGTGAGAGGACACTCTCTCCCATACCAGCTTGTGAAAGTACTCTGTATTCAAAAAAGGGAAACTGGACGAGCCAGAACTATTTGCAAACAATTTACCAGTTTACACCATAGACTGTAAAAAAAGATGGACGACGCACCTTCGCTCTCTTCCATTGAAGCTTCTGTGAAGTCAAGCTCGGAACTTGAGTCTGTGCAGAAGCGATTTCGAGACCAGACATGTGCAGTCGTGAAAAGGAAGTAAAGCCGTGAAATCAAGGCCCCGCCCTCACTCTCGCGGAATCAAATCACAAGAACACGCTCCTGCACTTTTTGCATGCTTTTTTTTATTAATTATAGAAATTTAGATATACAATTTAAAGCTCCAATCTCCTCAGTCCTCCGAAGATCGCAAAAAAAGTCTGTTGGTCTCGCTCGGAGAACCTGTCAATCATGACGTCGCACCACCGCATCAAATAACTCACTAAAAACAAACTTATTTTTAAAAACAAACACTTGAAATTACATCAGCGTGATAAACTACAATAAATGACAAACGATATTTGTAGTGTAATTTAATTGTTTATTTGGTCTCACGTGCCGTTGAATAACCATAGACATTAAAAGAAATGGACACAGTGACCCCAAGTCTGAAGCCCGATTATTGCACTTCCTGTCTGATGTCTGAGCGACTGGCTCAAAGGCTCAAACTGAGCATGACGACAGTCTGACAGTTGCAAATCTTCTAGTAGCTGTGCCAAGACAAATCTGAATCACCCAATTCCTCAAAAACGTTGAAATATTTTGTCCCGTTGCTTTTATGGACTCTCTATTTATGGGCTTCTCCTTGACTTGATGCCTCCATGTCCCCCCGATTGCCTCATAGACGGTAAAAGATTGCCTGCGAGCGTCTCCTCCTGTCTATACGGTAATGTCTCTATTGTGCGACAGAAAGTCCCGTGGTTATGACGCAATCTTTAGCCTATTTTTAGAAAAACGGCTTCTACGGGGCCGTAACGTAAGATACAAAGTAATGGAGACTTTTATAAATTGTCGTGTTTCTTTGGAAATAAATAAATGACGTCTTTAAACGCGTCAGATGTAAAGGTATTCGCTGTCAAAGTGACGCCAAAATGAATGGGAGTCAATGGGATGCTAACAGCAGGTGAAGTACTGCTACAATGGCGGCTCCCGCGAGGCTTCAACTTTGTGAATAACATGGGGGGGGGCGGGGTTTATGACCTACACTAGAACCGGCCACCGGGGGGCGATCGAGTCGTTTTGGCTTCACTTTTCGGGGCTTGTGCGGCTCGCTTGGTTTACACCAGTATCACTCACTAGTCGGATTTGTCTAGCTTCGACATCTTGATTCCACAAAGCCACGTTATTATTAAAATTATCCACTGTTGAAATGACGAGTGTCTGGAGTGTTCCCTCTTTACTCTGTCGTTTGTTTGCTTTTGTCAGTTCCATTTTATTTTTTTGTTGGCTAATTCGCTAAGCTGAACAGCCAATCAGAGTGATCGCTCTCACCTACAAGCTCTGTCGCTGATTTGACTTGCAGAATTGGGCGTAACCACCAGCATTGTCCGACTTGAGACAACGGTGCTGAACACTAAAAAAAAAAACACACGAAGACCAATGCTCAAACACATGCCGACATTGTCCGACCATCGGTTTGGTGTGTCCCAGGCTATAGAGGCCATATAGACTCCACTACATTTCACTCTTTCCTTATGCTCAGGTGGAAGGAGTAGTTACAGTGAAGGGCCTGTGATCACCACACAAGTGACTATTCCTAAAGATGTGAGTAAATCACTCCTGAATCGATACGATTTACACATGAACCGTGTATTTAACCCCTGCTGTGATTCTCAGCTGGCCGGATCGATCATCGGTAAAGGGGGTCAGAGGATCAAGCAGATTCGTCACGAGTCTGGAGCGTCTATCAAAATCGACGAGCCCCTACAGGGTTCAGAGGACCGCATCATCACCATCACAGGAACCCAAGACCAGATCCAGAACGCCCAGTACCTGTTACAGAACAGGTATGTTACAGAAGGACGATCACGTCCCAGTGGACCGAAGCGTGATGTTGCTGACTGATCTTCTCTCTGTTCTTCAGCGCTCTACACCTCTTGGGACGCCAGAACTAACCAGCCCTTCTCAGGATCTCCATCCAACCGCAGCTGAAGTCCTCGTCCCCGCGTGACGGCCTGAGTCTGACGCATCCCTGTCGGCCATCTTTATATTAATCCCTCATAGAATCATACGAGCCCGAGCCCTATGGATGTCCTTGATTGTGGATTTTGTGGGATTGTTCTTTCTTTTGGTTGTTTTTATATTAATTTTATACGGGCCAACTATCGCTTCTCAGAAATCTTGGATGAGCAGATAGATGCTTTTCAACAGGACGTTGTTGTTGTATTTTCCCTTTTGGAGTGAAGGTTTTATGGGTAAGGAAAATGTTCCACTATTCCAAAAGCTTGATCCAGAATTCACGCATTCACAACCCGCAAACTTACCGCTTTTTTATTTTATTTTATTTTTTTACTTCTCTGAGTGTTCTAACTGCATTTGATAGAAAATAAAATGTAAATATCCAATGATTACTATGGACATATGAATATATCCTTTACACTGTTTCATTCGTGTGATGGTTTCCTCAGAAATACAGATATTTTCACCAGGTACTGAAGGCTTGCAGTACTTTTTTTGTTTTTTTGTCTCCTGTCTGTTGCTGGGTTTTTAAAATCTAGTGTTTAAAAAAAAATTATTAAAAAAAGTACTCTACCTCTGGAAGTTTTTGTAGGTCTGCCATCCTAAAAGAAGGCTCACAATCATCGTATGTTTTTCTTTTTAATAAGAAAAGAAAACACAAGTGGATTTGAAGTTTTAGACTATATTTGTGTCAGAGGAGGATGGTAATTTCTCACTCTCCCTTTCTTGGTTTTATTTTTCTTATGTTTTATTTTTTTACTAAATTTTTCTCTGAAGTTCTTCAACCAGACACATTTGTAGAGTTTGTCATTTGTCTGAAATAATAAAGGAATTGCTGTTTTTTTTTTCAGTGTGGTTTGATGATTAAACCGTGTCAGGACAGTTAATGCCCAATCTCTTCTATAAAATGGAAATGATCATTCCTGGACAAACATTTAAAATAATAATAATAAAAAAATAAAATAGAAAATACCAACCTGTGTGTATTTTCAGAAATCCAAATGAGACTTTGATTTACAGACTACTGGTATGTACTTAATTTAAAAAAAAAAATGTAACTGGCTGTTTTATCTTAACAGTATGTCATATATTTATTTTAAAATATATATATAAACATAATATTCACACATGTGCCTAATATGTAGTTATACTTGTATTGCTTACAAACAATATCTAACCTATTCTCTGCAAGCCTTGCAAAATGTAAAGTTCAATTGTTTTCTCAGACACTTTTGCACTTTGGTCGACAGTAATCTTGATGGCTTCACACCTTGTTTGTGATAAAGAAGTTTAGATATTGTTTTACAAAGTTGTGTAATTATTATTATTATTATATGTATTAATATAGCATATTTCCCAAGCTCAAAGAGGACGCTTCACAATAGCAGTAAGGAACAAACAATAATTTTTACACATTGCACAAAAACTAATCAGTATATATTCCAACAACCCGAAATAATGTGTTTGCGCATTTTTGCGCATCTATAATCAGCTTGAAGCCAGAATGGCCAGACAAAATGCCCATGATGCCACTGCCTTCACGTGCTAGCGGAACTATCGTAAATATAGTTTTCTAGTTTAAAAACAGGACATGAATGCCCTCTCAAATCAAAATTTGAATGTGACGAGCTCGTAATCACGACTTCAGAAGTGGGAACTGGGAAGAAACTGATAGCACGAGTTTACCATTAAAAAACAACAGGTAAGTTAAGTAGCTTGGCTACAGCGGGTTTATTTCAGTATTCAAATTGTTACTTACTATGTGCAATAGATTTACTTCCGAGGAGAAAATCTGCAGTAAATAAACAGCATTATGTACTTTGTACCACCTAAGAGACATTCTCACACAGACTCTCCTCACTAATACTGTAATGTTATTCCAGCAGGTCTGAAAATTCAAGAAAGATTGCTCGATTACACGATTTAAAAAGGACAATTTTTGGACACCTGCTTTTCAGTAAGTACAATTTAAAGAGGCACATATGACACGGAATGCAAGTTTCTAGAAATTAGAATTTTAATAAATATTACCATTGTTGCAAAATAGTCATAAAATAAGGATTGAGACATCTGCAACATTTTAAAAGAATGATTCAATTGCTAATGATTTCATTTTTGAATAACACAAAGATGGAATAGCATACTACTCTACTACTAGGCTACTACTCTATTTCTGCAGTAACTTTCATTGAATATTCAGATGGCCGGTGCATTAAAGGGATTGTTCACCCAAACATGAACATTCTGTCATCATTTACTCACCCTCAAGTTGTTCCAAATCTGTGTGAGTTTCTTTCTTCTGCTGAACACAAAAGACGATATTTTGAAGAATGTTGGAAACCAACCAGACAGTTGACGGCACCCATTGACTTCCATACTATTTTTTCCCTACTTGACTAAAGTCAAGTCAAGTCACCTTTATTTATATATAGTGCTTTATACAATACAAAAAGACGAGAGTGTCATTATTCAGTGTTGATTCAGTTAACTGTGTAAAGTTCATCAATTATGAAATGAGTTTGATTCAGCTATGAGCAGTGCAGGTAGTAACTGAATATGTTTACCAAAAATGAAGTACTTGTAATTAGATTATATACAATTTTAAAATACTTGTATCCTTGCATTTTTATATACTGTAAATTTGGTACAACATTAACCTATTGAATTCAATGTGATAAACGAGTTAGGTCAAAAGTAATCTAAAACAGATAGATTATATTACCTAAAATGTGTAATGTAATGGATTACTAACTAAAACTATTGTCATGCAATTTGGAATCTAGAAGTAATCCATCCAGCATTGGCTATAAGCAGCTGTACAGAAGACAATAGTGTTGTTATCCAGTTTGAGTCAGTTCAATTTTGATTCAATAACAGTGTCGATGTTGGAAAATTCGTCAATTATGAAACAATGTCGAATTGGCTGTAAAGCAGTACAGTGGTGTCATCACGATCCAACACAATTCAGTTCAGCTTTAAGTATTCAGTTGTGAACATAGAGTATCAAAATGTTTCTTCCCAAAACAGAAAACAATGGAGGAGCCTTTGTCCCCTCGAGAGTCTGGTCAGTTTGTGGCGGAGCGGAGTCGAGATGTGTCTGTGGATGAAGATGGTGTTAAACGTGTGGCGCAGATGATTTATGACCTCCGTGAAAGTGAAGAATTCACAGCCAGCGGCTGGAAAAAGATGAATCCGCTGGCACCTTCGCCAGACTCCGATGATGCCATCCACTGGGTGTTTGTGACAGACACCATGAACTTCTCCTTCTGGCCTGAGAAGGAGGAGGAACAGTGTGAGGTCACATGTAGGGGAAACACCTATCGAGGGTACATGTCTCTCTGTGCTGCTGTGACCAGGGCTATGGATGAAGGTGACTGAGGATGTACGCTATATTGCCAAAAGTATTGGGACACCCCTCCAAATGATTGAAATCAGGTGTTCCAATCACTTCCATGGTCACAGTTGTATAAAATGAAGCATGCAGACGCTTCTATAAATATTTGGGAAAGAATGGGTCCCTCTCAGGAGTTCAAGCGTGGTACCGTGAGAGGTCCATTCGTGAAATTTCCTCACTACTAAATATTCCAAGATCAACTGTTAATGTTTTTTTTTAACAAAGTAGAAGCAATTGGGAATGACATTGGGTCAGCGTAAGCTTAGGCGCACAGTGAGGAGAAGTCTCCAACTCTCTGCAGTCAGTAGCTACAGACCTCCAAACTTTGTGTGGCCTTCAGATTAGCTGAAGAATAGTGCGTAGAGCTTCATGGGATGGGTTCCCATGGCCGAGCGGCTGCATCCAAGTCTTACAATGCAAAGCATGGGATGCAGTAGTGTAAAGCACACCGCCACTGGACTCTAGTGCAGTGGAGACGTGTTCTCTGGAGTGATGAATCACGTTTCACTTTCTGGAAATCCGATGAGTCTGGGTTTGGCGGTTGCCAGGAGAACGGTACTTGCCTGACTGCATTGTGCCAAGTGTAACGTTTGGTGGAGGGGGGATTATGGTGTGGGGTTGTTTTTCAGGGGTTGGGCTGTACCAGTGCACAAAGCAAGGTCCATAAAGACATGGATGAGCGAGTTTGGTGTGGAGGAACTTGACTGGCACAGAGTCCTGAGTAGAGGCAGACATTATTTCGGGAATCCCGTGGGTCACGGGAATCCCGCGGGATGGGAAACAAAATCACTATGTATCACGGGATTGGGACGGGAAAGGAAAAAATGTCAGCGGGAGTGGGCGGGACCGGGAATCGTAATGAAATTATTGATACCCAACATTATACACAAATATACAGTTTCCATAAATGCATTTTGAACTAAATTTTAATTGCCCTGTCTCTTTATGCTCTCCTGTTTGCTTTGGTGTGGATGGTAAAGTGAATGACTTGCTCCACACACCCGTACCCGGTGACTGTGATATACAGTAGCTGCCAACTCTCATGCATATTGGCCGTGAGATACCTGCATTTGATTGGTTTCACATGCTCACACCCCCGAATTCTCACACTGAAGTGTCAACCTGGTCTGTCAAATGCCTGGAAGATGAGTTTTTCTCGTGATCGAGTAGTTATGCTGCAAATTAGTTAAAGGGTTAATTCACCCAAAAATGAAAATTCTGTCAGTATTTACTCACCCTCATGTTGTTCCAACCCCGTAAGACCTTCGTTTATCTTCAGAACACGAATTAAGATATTTGTGATTAAATCTGAGAGCTGGATGACTCCTGCATACTAGTCCATAGGCTTCTTGAGGGATTGAAACTTGCCGGCCTCGAAAAGTTATTAAAAACATCGTTAAAATAGTTCAAGTGACTTCAGTGGCTCAATCTTAAGTTTATCAAACGATGAGAATATTTTGTGTGCGCAAAAACAACAACAAAAAAAACGACTTTATTTCAACTATTCATATCCTTCTCTCTTAGCCTTGAGTTTAACAGCGTATGATCTGTTGCTGTACGTCACACACATCATACACATGACCAGCGTCGGCCAATAGTGAGCCTATACGTGTGACGTAGCTCTACGCAATTACACTAGTTTAACTGACTAGAGGCGCAAAGAGAAGGAAGTGAATGGTTGAAATAAAGTCGTTATTTTTTTTTGTTTTTGCGCACAAAAAGTATTCTCGACTTTGATAAAGATATGATTGAGCCACCGTAGTAACTTGGACTGTTTAACGATGACTTTAATAACTTTTCAAAGCCAGCAAGTTTCAAAAATATCTTAATTCGTGTTCTGAAGACGAACGAAAGTCTTACGGGGTTGGAACAACATGAGGGTGAGTAAATACTGACAGAATTTTCATTTTTGGGTGAACCATCCCTTTAAATTCTCCCGGAATCTAGAGCGAGCGTGCACGCGAGACAAAGATTGTGCTTCAAACCGCCTAGCGCGCGCACACGGCAGAGAGGGAACGTGAGCGAGAGACCTTGCGAGTGCGCATCAGTTTTTTTACTGTGACAGATTCTGATCAAAAAAACAACACGGGAGTGGGAGGGAATAGGATTCTTCTGGGGTTGGGACGGGATTGGATGTTTTTTCGTGGGATTGGGACTTTTTTTTGTGGGAATGCGACGGGAGAGGTTTGAAAATCACCCTCTAGTCCTGAGCTTAAAGGGATACTCCACTTTTTTTGTTAATAGGCTCATTTTACAACTCCCCCAGAGTTAAACAGTTGGTTTTACCGTTTTCGAATGTATTCAGCAGATTTTTTGATATTTAGAAGAATATCAGTAACCAGACAATTTCTGGTCTCATTGACTTCCACAGTATATATTTTTTCCTACTATGGAAGTCAATGAGACCAGAAACTGTCTGGTTATTGATATTCTTCTAAATATCAGAAAATCAGCTGAATCGATTCGAAAACGGTAAAACCCATCTGTTTAACTCTGGAGGAGTTGTAAAATGAGCCTATTTCCAAAAAAAAAATGGAGTATCCCTTTAGCCCGATTGAACTCCTTTAGGATGAATTAGAGGGGAGACTGTGAGCCAACATCAGTTCCTGACCTCACCAGTGCGCTTCTAGAAGAATGCTCAAAAATTCCCATAAACACACTCCTAAACCTTGTGGAAAGCCTTCCCAGAAGAGTTGAAGCTGCTATAGCTGCAAAGGGTGCACCAACTCCATATTAAGAGTAAGATTAAGAATAGGATGTCATTAAAGTTGTGTGCATATAAAGGCAGACGTCCCAAAACTTTTGGCAATATAGTGTATCTCTCTGAATTTACATCCTGTTCATTTTATAAGAATACTTTTTATGGACTGTGAAAGTTCAACTCTATGGTATGTGTATGTGATATCTTTATTTAGGAGTGCCCATTACAAGCCCTGCCTACTTCTCTCAGATCACTGAGGCCCAGCTGGCGAAAGTCCTGCGTTCAGACAGCGCTACTAGCATGCCCATGCTGAAAGAGCGTCACCAGGCGCTAACAGAGGCCGGGCGAGTGCTCATGGAGAATGGCGGATCCTTCCGGATGTTCATGAGTCATTGTGAGAATGATGCAGAGAAGATGGTGAAGTATATTGTTCAGAATATACCGTCATACAGAGATGAAGCCACGTATGAGGTAAAAATATTCCCATCAAACATTTGAAATCAATAGTACAATTTCAGTTTAGCTATTTAAAGCATGGCTTTTGAAGAACTTTAGTTAAAGGAGTAGTTCACTTTTCAAAAAACTTTTGCTGATAATTTACTCACCCCATGTCATCCAAGATGTCCATGTCTTTCTTTCTTCAGTCGAAAAGAAATTAAGGTTTTTATGATTCCAGCATTTTTCTCCATATAATGGACTTCATTGGGAACCAAACGGTTCAAGGTCCAAAAGACAGTTTCAGTACAAACTGCAAACTGTTCAGAGGGCTTTAAACGATTCCAGACGATGAATAAGGGTCTTATCAAGCGAAATGATCGTTCATTTAAAAAAACAAATAACAAAGTTTAAGTTTTATAAGCTCAAATGCTCGCCTTGCTCTGTTCTGTGTGACTCTGCTGTTCGAACTCGTTCATCAGTCCCAGTGCTGACAGCTCTGCCCACCGCTTCAATCATGACAGGCAGCCTTGTGAGGCTTTGGACAGCTGTCACCGTCTTTTTAATTCCTCGATAAACCAGGGCAATGCCTAGTCCAGTCAGCAGAAGACCTGTTATCATGTTTCCGAATAGGTAGATATCTTCAACGTCCTCCACGGAAAGAGCCGCCAGACGCACGACCCGCCACCTATCCCACGCATCCATCGTGTAGCCAGCTGCGAACGTTCCGGCAGGGCAGGCAGGTTCCCCCGAACCCCAAGCTTCTCGTTGAGAAGATGGTGTCAATTGCGTTGAGAGACCAGTTGATCATATCCATAATTTCTCAGTTTGGAGAGCAGTGCTGAGAGAGTCTCTCAAAGTACAAGACAGTGGACTAGACGTGACGAGAGAAGCAAAGCAGGGAAAGTAAGGGGAGGGAGAGAAAATGCGACCGCCTTCGTTGAGTCCCACATAGGCGTCATTTACGGGGGGGACGGGTGGGACATGTCCCCACCACTTTTTGCCAGGGTCGATTTTGTCCCCACCACTTTTGAAACATCTCGCGGCACAGATGTACCAATACAAATAAAACATCTCCAGTTAACAGCATTCGTTTCATTTGTTTGTTAAATAACAGGCGATCTAGCACTGAAATGTGTTGTCTTCTCTCGGAAACGCGCTTCAATCCGTTGCGGAGATTCGTTCCGGTGAAATCACAAATCAAAATGCACACAAACGTTTCCCTGTTTCTCATGGGTTCTAATCCGCTCTCATATATTTTTTTCTCCCTTCATTAAAACATATACAACCACTGATAAACATTATATCAATTCAACCACTGATAAACATTATTGGTTTTGATGAGGGGAAAAAAAAAACTATTCGAGTGCGGATTAGAACCTCGAACCCCCCGAGTCCCGACACGCTAGGCAAAAATCCTACCTCTGGACCATCACTGTACATATGCAATCAAGGGCGTATATACTCTACATACTTGGACATTGTGCTCATTTTTATTTATGTACATCAGGACGCTACAGGACATCGTCTTTCAAAACATGACCTACTCGAAAGAGAAAAAAAAGAATGAATGCGTTATTGTACTCAGCACTTTTGAAAATGACCTTCCGAAGGCGTCTCTGTCCCCAGCTTATTTCAAACCAAACTGACGCCCATGGAGTGCCAAAGAAGAATTTGAGATTTGAAGAATTGAGATGTATAGATTCCGCTGTCGCGTCTGTTGTAAAATAAATCGACAGCGCATTCATTTTAATAGACAAACAGAAAACTGCAATCAAGGCATTTGCCGATCGGAAATATATTTTTGCCGTCCTTCCTACATGATTCGCTAAGAAGATGGGACGTAATGAAAAGCAGAACAGAATCAACACTCGTTATTTTACTTCTAAAATAAGTAAGTTATATAGTTGAAAACGGCGCTATGCAAAGTATTTGACTTACTGCGTTGCTCTGATTGGTTGTAGGTCTACCGACTATCCAATTGAGTGCAGAGTTTTTTTTTTTTTTCCTGGTTCGGTTAAGACACGCCTCATAATCAAAGCCCAATGAAGCAGTATCAGACTCATATATCTGACCAGAATATGAGTATGACGAAGTCAGGCTAGTGTTTACTAACAAACTATAGAAAATGTAAAGTACTTGATTTTTTTTTTTTTAAAGTTCTAAATTACAACTTTATCATTATAAATGTGTCATTTCAAATATGTATGAAAATACAGTTTAAATAGAAATTACTTTACATTTAGTTTGCTCAAATGATTGTCAGTACATTTGGCATTATCCATATTTAAAAAAAAAAATAGAAGTCGTTATGAAATTACATAAATGACTTAAGTCTACTAAATTAAGAACTGAATTACTGACGACTCATTTTGGCAGTTCAGAATCGATTCTTTCCTTTAGGAGAATTTGTCATTCACTTTGATTTTCAAAACATGTACATTCACAGACAGCTGTAACACATTTTATGAAAGGTAATATCTGAAAAGAAGCATAATAAAGTATATTATTTCTGTAATAAGCGCGTAAGGTGTACCACGTCATGTCATATTTTGTTGATATTGTAGGGTAAGAGGATTTCGTTTTACAAGAGGGCTCAAATCCTTGTGGCGGACGTGTGGGGCATCATGGAGGCCCGAGGGGAGGGGAACATCCCGAACCTTGACTACCTGACCATGTTTGCTGACTACAGGGTTCCACAAGGCCTTGTGTACCTTGGGGCTTTACGCTACTCTGATGCCCTAATGAAAACACTGAAAAACGGTTTGTTGTGCCTATATTCTAGTAGTCATATTTATATAGTCTGGAGATTTTTTATCCAGTTTGAAAGACTCCAACATGCATGTGATTAAGAGTGAATTTCACAAAAATATCTTTCGACTACATGATAGACAGATACACTTGGCTGTATTGTGGTAGTGATGATTAGTTGTTTCACAGGTGAATTGTTGAGCTCCGGTGAGAGACGAGAGGTGGAGATCCGGGGTTGCTCCATCTGGTGTGTGGAGAGAATCCGGCACCATCTGTGGAAGCTTGTGGAGGAGAGAGATGAAAAGAGATGTCACATCAACTCTGCTCTTATTGATTTTTACCTGTGGCCATATGCTAAAAAACACCACAAAGAAATGGCACATATTCCAATACATCACACTCGCTGCATCTACTATTGACACCATCATCATCTTTTTCCACATTCTTTTTTTGTATTGTTCTTTATACCTTTAAATAAAGTTATGAAAAGGTGGTGATTTACATTTGGTATAAATCATTTGGTAACAAGAGTGGAAAGAGTCATTATGCCTATATATCAACTCAACAGTCAATACTACATTTCCAACAAGAAATATTAATTATGTAGATTTTAAACATCACTGTCATCGAAATAATAATTTTGAGAACCTCAGAGCAATACACAATAACGTCACTTTATTCCTGAATGAATCATTGGTTTGAACGAATCTATTGATTGAATAATTCAATAACTCACTCAAAAGATCCATACTTAAATTCTTGTAATGGAGTTCTTCTTTTGTTCATTTGATCGGACCAATCAGCGTTCCACTGCCTACATATGTCCTATGACAGTTCTTTGGCATTTCTCCATCAACTCCACCATCTTGGCTGGGGTTTTGCAAATTGATTACAGCAATGAAGCAGTGACACTAAAATAGATTGTATGTGAGTGACAGGTTGTCCCTTGCAGTAAAGAGATGTTGCTGCAGAGGGGAATTTATGTTTATCAAAGATTATGAGGGCACATTAAATGAATAAAAAAGAGGGGGGGAATTTGCACTCGGATAAATAGGCCTAATCTATAATAAATACTGTTCATTAAAAAAAATAAAAACAGGAATTTGTTTTGAGTTTTTGACTTCTTGTGTCATTTAATTTGGTTGTTTAAAAGTTACCTTGTGTCAATAGGTTATTATTCAGGCTTAAAGGAGTAGTTAGCTTTTAAAAACCTTTTGCTGATAATTTACTCACCCCCATGTAGCCTAATCCAAGATGTCCACATCTTTCTTTCTTCAGTTGAAAAGAAATTAGGGTTTTTGATGAAAACATTCCAGGATTTTCTCCATATAATGGACTTCATTGGGAACCAAACGGTTCATGGTCCAAATGAGAGTTTCAATGCAGCTTCAAAGGGCTTTAAACGACACCAGACGATGAATAAGGGTCTTATCTAGGACCCTTCGAGCCATGATTTGAACAAAGATTTGTACAAACGGGTTTGAACAGGAGAGTCACGAATGTGCAGAACAGAGCAAGGCATTTGTGCTTTAAAACTTACATTTTTTAATTTATTTGTTTAAATGACAGATCGTTTTCGCTAGATTCATCGTCTGGTGTTGTTTAAAGCCCTTTGAAGCTGCACTGAAACTCTCACTTGGACCTTGAACCGTTTGGTTTCCCGATGAAGTCCATTATGGAGAAAATCCTGGAATGTTTTCATCAAAAACCTTCATTTCTTTTCGACTGAAGAAAGAAAGACATGGACATCTTGGGTGACATGGGGGTGAGTAAATTATCAGCAAAGTGAACTACTCCTTTAAATTATTTTCGCGACCGCTGCTGAATTCAGGTGGCGTTGTCACGTGATATGCGTGGCTTTTCTCACCGTTGATTAGGATAGACTTTTTTCACAGTAATTTGTGATTACAGGATAAAACATTTATTAAATAATTCTATAGATTAGGTAGCAAATGTCGCAGTGACACAAACAACCCTGATATTTGAACGCGTTTTAGATGAGTTTCTGCTCGCTGAGCCACAGAGCGCCCCCTGGCGTCAGTACCCCTATATCACCGGTTAATAACATTTTTCCACTCGATGCATGGTAGCATAGAAGCTTTTGTGTCCGTGCAGGCCGCCATACACACTCGTCTGTGTTTGCAGTTTACAGCCTTACAGCACGAAGCTGAAGATACCGACAGTCCTCTTAACCAGGTGAAAGTTTGTTTAACTTAGTTCATTTTAACGGCGCCTCCTCTCAAAAGTCCGGCAGGTTTAAGTTACACAAGACATGTTAAACTGGATGAAACATGTTCAGGAAAAATGAGGGGCTCGTTTGTTACTTGTGTGTCGTCCAGCACTGGCGAGCTAAAAAAAAGTCTAAGCTAACGACATTTTAGGTGTCAAATGATGTATAACCAAATCTGCAGTCTACCTAGGCAGTTCATTTTAACTAGACTAAAATATATATAACAACGAATGAATATCGAGCGCTATATTCACGAATCCAGCACCAACCAACCTACTACGCCTTATAATTAAAAAAGCAAACGCCTTAAAAAAGCAAACAGATTTATTATGTTTTGAATGAGCAATACAGATTAAAGATGGCTTTGTGTATTTGAGTGTATTATATTAACAGGTTCATATATTGTGCGTAAAGAGTTATCCTCATTGTGTAACTGTTACATTGCACTGATTCTTGAATGCTAATGATAATTCAGAGACAAAATTGCTTTACTGGCATAATAATTGTTGATAATACTGAAAAAAGCTTGGAATATATGGCAAAATTATGATGAAACCATCAAAATAATAGAAAATTAAAATAAACAGTTAGAAATAAGAACCTGATACATGAATGTTTCTCTGTCTTAGAGCCCATCAGCTCTGAACTGAACTGTCTCACACTAATATACAGGCATCATGTGTTGGTTGTCCCGTTGGCAGGTTCAGGATGGCATCAACAGTGATCTCAGTGCCCACCACGGCGTCACGCTTCGCTCTGCTGCAGGTCGACTCGGATTCGGACACTGATTCGGATGCAGGAAAGACAAAGGCCGGTCGTGGAGCAGGGAAGCCTCGCTCGGGGAAATCTCCCAGTGGGAAGACCAACCAAACTACAGACAAAAAGAAAGAGAAGAGAAGACGAAAGAAGGAACAGCAGCAGAGTGAAGCCAATGAGGTCTATCTATCCATCTATCCATCTATCCATCTATCCATCTATCCATCCATCCATCCATCCATCCATCATCTCTCTTTGTCTATCTATCTATCTATCTATCTATCTATCTATCTATCTATCTATCTATCTATCTATCTATCTATCTATCTATCTATCTATCTATCTATCTATCCACTGTCTGTCATCTCTCTGTGTCTGTCTGTCTGTTTTTCTATCTGTTTGTCATCTATCTATCTATCTATCTATCTATCTATCTATCTATCTATCTATCTATCTATCTATCTATCGATCTATCGTCTGTCATCTGTCTGTCTGTCTGTTTTTCTATCTGTTTGTCATCTATCTATCTATCTATCTGTCTATCTGTCTGTCTGTCTGTCTGTCTATCTATCTATTTTAATATCTGTCTGTCTGTCTGTCTGTTTTTCTAAAAAGGCTGTTGGGCCTCACCTTTGTTTCTGAAAACAGTGATTATGAGTCAGTGTTGACATTTCTTACATCCTTATATATGAAGAGGGTGGTGTAGTGGGTATGTTTTGGGCTGAAGTCACCTTCAGCAAAATGTCTACTAACAAAAACAGTCTTTGTCGTCACACACTGTAGCTCAGGAGTCTCGCTTTTAAGAAGATCCCTCAGAAGTGTTCGGCACCTCCCTCCCTCACGCTGCAGGATTTAGCGAATGATCTGATCAGCCCGGCAGCTGTCCAGCGTGGCTCCAAGCCCCAGGAGAACTGGCAGGAGTGGAAACAGAGAGATGAACAGGTACACCTTTTACACAAAAGAAAAAAAACTTAAAGTGTTACTTTAGGATTTAGCATTAAGCTGTGTATTGGTAGGAAACCTGTAGTTATTTCGAATTACCATGCTTTCCACCCTCATATCCCCCGAGACGAGAGATTTGTGTATTTTTTGACTGAAAAAAAATCCTCAGATGACGCAAAAAACGTAATTTTGCGTCATCTAAGGATTTTTTGTCCAGAGGCTAAAGACTACAGTCAGTAGTCGGGACTGTCCCGCATGTCCTCAACCCGCCCATAGAGGGAGATCTCACTCACAGAATGGACACATGATGGAGTGTCGGCCATCTTTTTTTGAAACCTAAGCTAACAGGTTCTTGTTCTGTGGAGAAAGCTGAGTAGTTGGGGTTACCATCCTCTTTTTCCCGGACTTGTCCGGCCGTCGATGTCCGGGATTCAGCTTTTGCTTTCTGCAGTCGCCATTCATTGTTTACATGCACAGCTTTTGTTTCAATCTAACTGAATTCATTCTGATTGATGAATCTTGTAGTGTTTACATGAACGCTAAACAAGTGATCGGTTGTTGTGCGTTTTAACATTGCTAAGAAAATTCCCGCTCTTCTGTGAGAGATACGAGACCGGTGCGTCTCACAGGTGTCGCTCTTCGGTAATCACGCCACCAGCCTCGCGCCGTTCTCCCGCGCAAAAGCCCGATCCCGGACATTTTGGCCAATCTCGGAAATCCCGGGCAGACTCATCACTGAGACTCACTAGTAGCCTAGACTTGTTTAACCTCTGCACTCTGTTGCCGGTAGGCGTGGCCACCTAGGGCAGCGAAGCAAGTGCATTCTGGGAGTTGTAGTCTTTCATCCACAAGCCAAAAATACATTTTCTGGCTTTTCCCAGTCTAGAAAGCTCCAAATTCAAAAATAATATCACATTTTTTCTACATAAATGAACCATTTTAAATACACATTCATCTTTCCAGAGGTGAAGTATCCCTTTAATTTGACTTTCCAATAGCCTATTTTTCCTATTTGCTTTATGCAAACATGTTCATGTTTGTGTTCACACAGCTGACCAGTGACCTGTATGAGGCGGATCTGGAGAAGGCGTTGATGCTGAGTAAATTGGAATTTGAGGAACATAAAAAGGTAAATTTATACTGACTCTAAAAATGTCATCTCATGCAACCATCAAGAGGAAACTAATAATTAAGTCTACTTTAGTAGAATGTGAGTCCAAGAGGGGCAGAGTCTAGTCCAACTAAACAATTGTATTTCATTAAGTCAATACCTAAAAAAAAAAACACCTAACAACAATTTTAAATGTAACAAAAGCACACCTCTATTGCATATTGCCATTTTGATTTTTTGCGAGACACTCGAGACCCACAGGAGGGACTTAACTTTTCCAAACATATAATACTATTGTTCATCTTCAGAACACAAATGAAGATCTTTTTGTTGAAATCTGAGAGAATTCTGTCCCTCTATTGACAGCTACGCAAATACCATTCTGAAGCTTCAAAATGTTCATAAAGAGATTGTAAAACTAATCCATATGAATTGAGCGTTTTAGTTCAAAGGTTGGGAAACCCGTATCTAGTGTAGTCTGTGATGTGCGTCTTTCATGGATTTAAAGTGTACTTTGTCTTGTTGTAATTTGTCATTGACTACGATTACATGCAGCCAATAACCCGTTCAAAACCGGGATATTAGCAATAACCCGGTCGCGAACGGCCATGTAAACACTGGCAAAAACCCGAATATGCTCATATCCCGGATTTTAAAAACCGGGATATTATACCTGGGGTACCCCTTTTCTAACCCGAATTTTTGGTCATGTAAACGCGTATCGGTATATCCCCATAGTGATTTGATCTGCACATGTTCTATTCGCAAGAAATCTCTTGGTCTTTTGAGTAGAGAAACTTCTCGGCGCATACAAAAATCCACGTGCACTATACCAGAAGTAAACATGCCGCGACACAGCACAGCATACTTTTGGAGCGAGCTCAGTAACGTTACCAGCATCAAAGCGCAAAGGCGATCGCTTTCTGCCCCGAACTATTCATTATCCGCGTGCTGCTGTTGTTGTTGTCTTTGGATACAGGAAGAAGAATCGGAAATGACGCATATTGCGTCTTAAGGTTGTCCGTACGTCTAGACGCTAACCGTGCGTTGCCGTTTACATCGGGATATTCCATGTATACAGGAGAAACTCTCTGCTCACGCATGTAAACGGGTTATTCCTAATGTTTCAGAAACCCGAATAGTGACCATAACCCGACCATAACCCGAAAATTGGCTGCATGTAAACGTAGTCAATGTGAACACACTACTCGCACTATTTATACTACAAAAGCTTAGAATAGTGCATAAGTTTGTGAAGCTTTAATGAACCTGACACAGAAGCTGCGGGGATTCTCTGTGATATCATTTGATATTGTTAAGGCTAAAGTTCAATAAACAGACATCACACTCAGAGTCAAATTAATAAAAGGAAAAGAGGTTTATTATTCTTGCAAGAATAAGGCTTAGTCACCAACACAGATTACTGCGAAGTGAAATGACGCCCAGAACACAACACAGGCCGGAGTCCCATCTTGTATCTCTCTCAAGGTTATTTACTACAAGCCAAGCCTTCTCTGTAAAATTCCACAAGCCATAGGATTCACATGTTAGGTTAGATTTACTGCTATCCTCCCCAGTCTAAGATGACCTCTGACCCGGCCGGTTCTCTGGTGCCTCACTCCACTCTTGATAAAGGAAAGACAAATTACTTCCTTCACGGATAGCTAAACCATAAGACATTCCTCCGTTATTACACATAGGAGGTGAACAGATGAAAATATAAGACCCAATAATCATATGTAATACATGTCAGATTCAAATTTCCCCAACAATATCAAAATGAGTGGGGATGGACATAGCCATGCAAAATTGACAAACTACTAGAAGTTTTTTTTTATTATTATTATTTTTTTTTTATTAATGCCATGAACAGAACAATACAATGAGACTTAATCCTTCAAAGTGAAAAAAAAAAAAAAAGTAAATAAAAAAAAAAGAACAGTGCCAGAGGATAAAAAAAAAATACAGTATTACAAACAGAAAAGGGGTGCTACATTATATATCATATCTGCTTACAATGCTATAAGCTCTAATTGCCTTTTTACTTGTGCAGTTACACAAAAGAGAACAATAAAGCTTAACATTATTTTTAAAGCAAGAAAAATTAGGTTTGGAGTCAGACCATTTCATTTTATGAATGTGAAACTTCCCCATCAGTATTAACAATTGTATAAAATATGCCTTATCTTTCTCAATCCCATGATCATTGAAGTGTATCATAATGTCAAATCCCAAACTACTAGAAGTATACAATCAAAAATTCTATATTCTACTATACAATCAAAGGCCTCAAAGTTTATCATCATAGTTCAAACTTTGAGGAAAAAGCCTTTGCACTCAATCTTCTACATTTCTTCTGTTGTCTGATTGATAGTTTATTTGTTTTTAGCAAGTAAAAGTTTTTTTAATATAATTGTAAACACGTCCCCCTTCAGGATATCCCTCTTTGGGATATTTTAATGTGAACTCTTTACTGATTTTAGTAAGTAAATGTAAAAATAACTTCTATAATTGTATATTAATAACTTGTATTGTTGGTAATATTTCGAGAAGAACATTTACTGGACTGTAGCAACTTATGTTTACTTGATTATCCATGTCATTTTTTAGAAAAATCATGTTCAAATGTGAATATCTGATACAACAGGCTTTTGAGGAACATATTTGTTCATCTCTCAATCATAGTTATATTGCATTATATTAAAAGCTTTGCCCTCTACAATAACAACTACAGAATTTTGATTATAAAACTAAGCATTTAAAAAATATCTTATTAAGACTTGATATTGGGAGATAAAAAGTGACATCTTTTTGACAGTGAAAACTTGTATTATATACATTTTATGTAAGTAGTCTGATATAGTGTTAGATTGAATTGATTTACATTATAAGGTATTAGAATTTCACTTTACCTTTTGGTCGTATAAAGATCAGCAACTGCCTCAGATTAAAACAGTTTTATTCAGAGTTTTAAAGCTTTGTATTCTCCTATATCATATTATATGAGCCATAAAAGACTGGTGTTTCAAATATGATACTCATAAAACTCTTTTTTTTTTTCTTCTTCCCTTTGTCAGGCTTTACAGGGTTAATGTCATACAATATGTTGAGGAACCCAGTCTCCTGCGTTCTATGTTCATTTCTAGCTCTTTAAAATGTAGTGAAAAGTGTAACTACTCCCTCTTGTGGTTCCAGTGGTTTATTAAAAGTTAAACTGTCAATAATAAATTGTATAATATAATATAACTGCAATTGATTTTGAAACTGTTAATGGTAGCTATTGCACTACTTATTTGATATTTTTCATCTTTTGCAAGATTCTTAATGTTTAATATTATAATTTCCCAAGGATCCTGAAAAAACAGAGACTGCGTCACCGAAGACAAAGGCGGGAGGAAAGAAGGACAGGAAGAAGAATCAGCAGGGGAAGGACAAGCGAGTCACTGTATCTCTCAAAGACTTCCAGCATGAGGGTGAGAACGCCTTACTCTTATCGAGAGACACCAATCACTGTCTGTGTCCGTTCTAACTCACTGTCTCTATTGCAGATCAGCAGAGTAAGAAGCCTGACAAAGAGGTGAGTGTGTGTGTAGTCGGAGAGCTAACATGAAACATACAAGCTTAGGGGGAGAGTGGGTTACTCCGGCTCTGACAGCGTTATCTGGAGCGTGATGTAAACCCTCAATATAAAGTTTTATATATTTGAAGCAAACACTGTTTGCAAGTAAACACTTAATTCTTGGGGTATTTTGGATCAGGAGTGTTTTAAACTTGGGGACTCCACAGGAAACATGAGAGAACTAATTTTACTGCATGTAGTTTTAGGGCTGTCAAAGTTGTGTGTTAACTTAAGATATTAATTAAATATATTTAATGCATTAACAAAAACCTAGTCAGAAATGAGTTCATAAATGTTATTTTACTCTGAAGAGGTAGTGTCAATTTAATACAAAATAAAGGTTCTCCAGATAATATTCTAATTATAAATTAACTTTCTTTGACTTTGGTCTAATGATGACATTAATTACTTAGGATTCTTTATAATAGCTTAATTTTAGAAAAATATTGTCTTTGTAATATCACACTTAATGTTTTTCTCATACAGTATAGATCTTTTTTTATTATTTATGTGTAATTGTAGTATTTATTCATATTTTTAAACTAGCTTTTATTGGTATATTTTCAGTTTATTTAAATTGTAGTTTTATTTTATGTGCTTAATAAAACTGAAACTAAAATGAAAAAAATGTTAAAGTAAAATAAACATTAACTGAAATACAATAAAATAAAAAAACGTGAACTTTATGTTTGCAGTTGGTTGCTAAATCAAGATTTTTTATGTTCATTTTTAATTTTACTTGAGGAACTAAAATAACTAAAAATTAATTGAAATAAAAATGAATAAAAAAACATGTAGACGTTTAAAAAACTATTAAAAATTACAAAAACAGTGACAAAAAAATTATATACATAAAAAAAAAATATATAATCTCAATAATACAAAAATAACACTGGTTCTTTTAACTTTTGTGGTTAAGTTTTAACAATTTAAACACACTTAATTTCAGTTTGTTGCCAAGGCAGCATTTCTAATTATTTAAGTTTAAGATTTTCATCTACTATATGTTTAATTTTATTTTAGCTTCTTTTTTTATATCGATCATTTCACAAGATGTAAACAACACTGGTCCAGAAGCACTTCCTGTTTCAGTTTGTAACTGTTTTCTTTATTTCACATGTAAAGAAAACATCTTAAAGATGTTTGTTTAACTTTTTGATTCAGTTTTAAATGTTCTGTTGGTTGTATTTTATCCCAGCTTTTATGTAGTGTTAAAAAACTGAAACAGGAAGTGCTTCTGGACCAGTGTTGTTTACATCTTGTGAAATGGTCTATATAGTTTTGGTATTAGATAACAATAACAACACTGGTTTAAATGTATTTATATATGGAAATATACAGCTGTCCTTATATTTCATGATGTGGGTCCCTCGCAATGGGATTGGCTTATTCGGGGGTGCTTGGTTTGTAAACTCTTCATGATTTCCACTTTCTGATGGACCGAAGAGTGCACATTTAGACATTTGCAGTAAAAATATCAGCCATTGGAAAAACATCAGTCCACATGTGTTTTATATTTAAAATGAGGGAAATAGACATGCATGCGTGACGCAAATCTCTTAAGTGGCAAAATATTTTTTGAAAATTCTACTAGACTAACGTCACCCATAAATCATGAAATTTCACACTTTCACCATTTCAGGAGTTTTATTAAAAATCTTTAACTTTTAGGTAGCTAAACGATTTGTAGTAATTCTGTCCATTACACTAAGGTTAGATTTCATTGAGGGTAAATTGGAGCGGCCAATTCAACCGCTTTTCAACCCCCCCTCTCACAGTATAGTTCTTACGTCCCTGGTGATACTGACAACTTCCTGTTTTTTTTTTTTTTTTATCAGCCTGTGAATCCTGCACTGCGTGATGAGAAGTTTTTTAACCAGCTAGAGGATGATGTGAGCAAGATCGTCCAGCGTGACAAACGCAGAGAGCAGTACAGCAACAGTGCCGGTCACGACGTCAACACCTCCTCAGAGCAGGAGCAGGTCAGACCTCGCTCAGTCTTTCACCCAGATAAAGGAGAAAAACCTGCACAATTTGTAGTCCGATGTGCCATAATGTTGAATGTAGCTCAGTACAACATCTTGTTTTCTTTCTCAAAACTCTCAGGATGTGAGAACTGAGCAGTTAAAATACGAACTGGAAAAGAAAGACCTGGAAATTGGAAAGTTGAAAAAGACAATTTCACAATGGGAGGTAAGAAGTTGCGATGAAGTGTGGCACGTTTTTTATTCTCATTGACATATTCGGATCTTAACCCTTTGCGTGTCTCTGTTTAAGAGCTGATAGAAACTGATACCCAAATGGCTAGCTCAATAATTCATACAAAACCAGAGACGTTACACGTTCAGATCAAGCCTCCAACATGCTCCTGTTGCTGCGTTTTCACACTCTCTGCACAAATTGATAGTTACGTCTTCCGATTGGCTCATAGACGTAATCACGTTCTGTGCACTATGACCCCAGGGTTTGTTGCATGTTGTGATGTCACAAGCTCAAAAAAACTGTGATTTTGAGTGCAGAACTCATGTTGACCAGAAGTGGTTAACATCAATAATATGGCCTGCATTAGTGCTGGGCGGTATACTGGCTCATACTGAAAACCGGTGTATTTTTTTTTTTTAAGTTTGAATATACCGCCATAACGATATATTTCATTCGCTGCGCCCGCGACACTGTTTCAGACGGACCCTTTACAAAGTTGCTCTTCTAAGCAGCGACTGCGAGACGAGGCCGAGGGTATACAGCAGTGCTCTGGTGTTACGTTATAGGGAAGATGCTGCAGAACTATGGCGTTATTTTCCTGTCAAATCTCGAATATTGAAGCGCGAAAGTACATTAATATAATGCGTGAGCGTGGCTCTGCTCGCGCACGGAATATAATGTGCCGCGCGTGCTCTCTCAGATGCATGCTGCTCTTGTAAGAATAGGTCTATTTACTAAACTTACTGTGCGTTCACACCGCCGCCGACTTGAGCGTCAAAGAAGCTCTGGCCGCCCTGTCAAGGACGCTTGTCAAAAAGTACGAGGAAGCTTGTTCACGCTTTGGATGCTTTGAATGCTCTGACGTTGCAGGGAGAATAGAAGTGTCACAACATGAAATGTAATAAACAGAAAAAAACAAGCAATACATTGAAGAAACCTTTTATAATTACAGCATTTTTATAACATTTTTATTTGAAAAAATGAATAGTTAGCTATTATTATTATTCTTTGCTGTCAAATCGGTGTCACCGTGAGCAAATGAATTGCATTCCCGCTTTAAAACGAGCGTTTGTAAATATTTCAAATAAAAGTTGCGCTCTTGCGGTCCCTATAAACAAACAGTCATGTCATAAATGATAGGAAACCAGTAGGAGATTATTATCTTCTCTTCCATTTTCTCGGAACTAATGTTTTGGCAGGAACAAAAATTTACATTGTATGTTTCTCCGGAATCAGCCAGCGCGAAGGACGTCTAGATTCCGATTGGTTGCTGCAGCTCGTTACCATAAAGTTGAGCTCCCTTCAACTTTCTGACGCTAAAAATGCCCAAAACGCAACGCCGATGGATTTGACGCTCCTTGCAGCTGAGAAAAGCCAGCTTCTATTGAAAATGAATGACTTCCGGCCGCTTTGGAAGCTCAAGTCGACGGCGGTGTGAACGTACAGTTAAAACGTGTTCAGTGCAATCGCGAATCTACGGAGGCGTATTGCATTCACTTGAAGAAAAAAAATATACTCTGTTTTTCTGAATTAATGAGTTAATTTTTCATGAGAAAAAAAAATTTTTCTCTGTTTTTCTGAATTAATGAGTTAATTTTTCATGAGAATTTTTTTCTCTCTGTTTTTCTGAATTAACGAGTTAATTTTTCATGAGAAAATTTTTTTTTCTCTGTTTTTCTGAATTAATGAGTTAATTTTTCGTGAGAAAAAAGTTTTTGCTCTGTTTTTTCTGAATTAACTCGTTAATTCAGAAAAACAGAGCAAAAAAAAAAAAATCCATGAAAAATTAACTCATTAATTCAGAAAAACGGAGCAAAAAAAAAATTCCATGAAAAATTAACTCGTTAATTCAGAAAAACAGAGCAAAAACTTTTTTTCTCATGAAAAATTAACTCATTAATTCAGAAAAACAGAGCAAATTTTTTTTCTCATGAAAAATTAACTCGTTAATTCAGAAAAACAGAGTAGATTTTTTTTTTTCTTCAAGTGAATGCAATACGCCTCCGTACGAATCTCTCCTCTTCACCAGATAACAATTGTAGGTTATAAGAACGTTTTCATAGCGTTCCCATTAAGTTATAAATACGTTATTTCTGAATATTCTAGGAACATTCAAAACGTCCAGATTTTTAGATGTTGTATTAACGTTCTTGCTTGGCTATAAGAACGTCATTCAAACGTCATTGGAACGTTCAATTCTCCCGTTATATTAACGTTGTATTTTAAAGTTATTATTATTAAATCATTCTAATGTTATTAGAATGTTAAGAAATGAGAATTTTATTAAAGGTGCATTGCGCAACTTTTCATGTTAAAAATAGCCGTTTTCTAACCCATACATGCTTAAACAATCGCCTGGTGGGCTGAATGAGCCCTTCTTTGATCACTGCGATCGCCTCTATAACCCTGTACAGTGAAATATATAAGAGGGATTCGGGCTCGAATCTGAGACTGGGCGTGACGTCATGCGCGTTCACGCTCGCCTGGCTGTGTCTGGCAGGTTCGTGTAGCTATTCGCCGCCGTTCTCCGTATCAGAGAAGACAACTCGAGCGACACAACTCTAGTCAGCTTTCCACAAAAGTAGACGATGGATTCGAAGGGGCTGTTTACACCTGGTCACTTCATGTGTCTTCTGTGATCGGATAGCTATTCGATCGTGAAAAGACCAGGGTGTAAATGCCCTCCGAAACGCATTCGAGACGGATTTGAATTCGATCGCTCAAACCACTTGAGGACGTGGTCTGTGCCGTATTCCAGACGAAACTGGACAAGTTGCATCTGGTTGTTGAAACCAAGCTATATGTCATGATATTTTAGTCATATATGACGACGCGCATCACCTGAGCAGCTGAGCTGAGCCCCTTCATCAAGCGCCGCAATCTATCGCAAATCAAAGTGAATTAGTGAAAGTAAGTCGCAGACGCTTAACACTACCATCTTCATTAAAAGTAAAGAAATGAAATGATCTTACCAGGCCTGTTGCCGATCTCTCCTATTGCTGTCTTTGCTGATTTTGAAATTAGCCGATGATTAATAAAATCCAGCTCATATCTGTTGCTTTCGGTGACGTGCACTTCATTAAATCTGTATATGGCGCGGAAAGAGACCGGCTTGTAGCTCATTACAAACCCAACGCAAACTCCACGTGAGACAGAAAATAAAACTTCTGTCTGTCCAGTGCCATGCGTCGGAATAAGACGAGAGTCAACATCGGGAAGCTTTCAACAAACGGAGAGATCTCCGGTCTGCTCTAGGGCTCAAACGGGTATAGCCTATACAAAGTGATAACTGAACGTGTTTCCATAATAATTCAATCATAAGTGGATACAGTAAGCACAGGGAGATAGATGGAAACAAAAACCGAAGTTTTCTACTACCCCCGTTTCCCCCTCTCACACAGTGTGTAATTTACTCGAATGCCTTTCCTTTCATATATTTTTAAATGACTTGCAGATTTATTACTGTATTACCTCATTATGACTGTAACAAAAGATGTGTGCCGCACAGTGTGCGGCTGATGCTCCTTAGTTATGAACAGCTCGTGCAAACC